TGTACGGCGTAAGTTGGCCTGGTGCTGCAACTCGATTAGTTAGCAGTTGAAATAAAGTAAGCGTTGTTTTATTCTGCTGAAATGCAGAACTTGTGTTTAGCGTTGTTTTATATTCAATCGGGCTTATATTATTTTAAACGTCTGGTTGTTTAACGCAGTTAAACAACGGGCAAACTACATGAAAAGCACAATACATGTTTTACAGTTAATAGTAGTACAGTACAATACCAAGGACTTACGAAACATCCGGTTAATTAACCGGTAAATAAGGGGGTAAATATGTATCAGTATTTCGTGGTGTGCCAATCAATACATGTACTGTATGTGTACCTGTACGGTATACCGTTAACAGTAAATCCCAGTGAAACGATCATGAGGCAAGGTGTAGGGCTAACAATAAGAACGTTTGATTGCAGGCATGAAAGATTCATAGGTGCCAAGCAATAGTTCCTGTACTGTACCGAATACCGTTAAATCCCAGTGAATCGATCATGATTGGCAAGGTGTAGGGTTAAGAACGTTTGATTGCAGGCATGAAAAATTCACTTGCTAAAAGCTCCAGCAAGTTAGTTTATTAAAATGGGATTCGCCAAAATGCCATTTTCCATGCATTCCATTTTCTCGCAAAATGGGATTAACCAAAATGTGATTTCAAAAATGGAGGTAAAAGGTCCATTTTGTAATACTAGTATGGCGTTTTGGACCTCTTCACCGAGTAAATCCCACGTGGAATTATTGGATATGGGTTAACAGTAAGGGTGCGTCTGGTAACATTTCAAAACTAATTTTCCATTCTGGCAAAATGGGAGCCATTTTCAAAATGGAGGTGAAAGGTCAATTTTGTATGGTGAATTCGCTATAAACTTCCAAAATTCGCCTGATTTATCAAATCAATATTGAATCACGCTAGAGTTCTGATTGGTTGAATATGTTTGTCCTTTCTGTAAGAGCCAATTAAATCCACTTGAAATTGAATTTGCCAATAGCGACGATTCGTAATTCGATTCGGCGGCGAGATTCGATTCGGCGGCGAGATTCGATTCGACGGGGTCTGGAAATCTGCACCAAATCCACAAAACTCAGGTCAATCTTCTAAGCTTACAAGCTTAGGGCATCCCCACCGGTGCGACTGTATAATCAGACTGTAAAATACCAAGTGTATTTTGAGTTTCGTCAACCCCAGGGGTAAAACATCCAAATAATGTTTTTATCCGAGAATGATGGCGTGGCGCGCACGTTTGTGCGAAGGCATGATGGCGTGGGAGGACGACGATGATGACATGGATCAACCTTGGGAGGTTCTTGCCTTTCATCAGGCTTCTGCGCGCCCTAAAGGCTCTACTACGAACCGCCAGCCAAACCTACCACGAGATAACGAGGATGCACATGCTCTGGTTTACTAGACTACTTCTTTGACAACGCTACCACTCATGAAATCGTACTAATTGTTAACAGACGTTTGCCCATAAATTTGACTATTTTCTTGTCCAGAACCTATGCCTGTTTCAAAAGAACAAATTCATTGGTAGTATCGGACAAACCAGTACTAGTAAGAGGTATCGTCATGTGTGACAACTAAGCTTGCAGCAGCATTGCATTTGCCCGAACGAGCTGAGCATCGACTACTGTCTTCGGCAATTTCGACCCGCCATGATGCTGGCAACATCTTCAGTCTCTTCGATGCTTTCACTCCAAGCGGGCGTTGATGCACATCGACGTCGGATACAATGTCGTCGTTCTCGTCAAACTTCATGCGCTTCTTTGCACGATTATTTCCAGGCTGTTGGTCGCGCAAGTCCTGCCACTTCGGTAAGGTGCGCAAAATTTCCCAGGCATGCAAAAACAACAAGCGACTGCTTGCCACATGCATCGGCCTTTTTTCGCGAAAAGCTCCTTAGCACGTCGCACCAGCTCGGCATCTCCCGGTCCATCACTCTCCCCTCTTATGAGCTTGGACCTCACCGTGGAAAAACATCCCACAAAATTGTTGCATTGATCCAGAATGGTGGCCCAACATGACGACAAGGAGCGCCCAGAGCGTTTGATTGCGCCGTCGGAGTAGTGATTGAAGTTGGTTTCTATACGCGACCACAATTGGTCTGACTTCTGACCTCTACCCTTTGACGCATCTTGAGAGATGTTGATCCATGTCCGGACATAAGCTGGCAGTCTTCGTCGGTCGTGAAGTTGGAGCCACGGACGGCCTAGGCGATAGTCCAAACTCAATTAACCACGGACGAGGCTGATTCCATTTCTGAACCAACTGATTGTTGAATCCATAACGCACATGATTGGACATAATTTCATTATGCTTTTAATGTCATTGGCTGGTTCATCAAATCATCAAAACTGTATTTTACAGACTGTAAATCAGACCGATTTGCCGACTCGCGGTAAAATTTAACAGTTTTCTGTATTTTACTATCGCCCGGTGGGTTGTCAAAACTGTAAATAATCCAGATAGAACTGTATAATAGCGTTTACAGTCGCATCAGTGGGGATGCTCTTACGGCACATGTATTAGCGTGGACCGCACTGCATATACTTATCTCAATCCGCACTAATTATGGGCTTGGAGAATTAGTGTGGACGCACCAATTTTGAATACTGAGAATTATTATGGACTATTTTCGGGATATTTGCATGTCCGGATTGCCATCTAACTAAACACACATCACAAATTAGCATTGATGAACAGTCAATAGTGCAGACACATCATACTAGTATACCAGGTACAAGGGTCATTATACCATATTCTTTGTTATGACTAGCAGAGCAATAGGACCTCGTGGCATACACCCCAAACATCACACCCAATATTGCTCGAAATTGATCAGCACTAATTACTGTACCAACCACAAATTTTGGGAGTTCCATCCCACATGTATTCCTCAAGGAGTAAATCCCACTTGGAATCATTGGATTTGGATTAACGTTAACTGTAAAACTCTTCAAGCAAGATATGTTTCAGTATTTATCAAATTTATTGAATTTGGCCCCAAAATGGCGTTTTGGGCTAGAATATTGCAATAACGTTCAGTGTATTTCAGGTTTCCTGGTGCACATAAATATTTCTACAGTACTCCGAGTATTAGGGCCGTCTGGAAACATCCGCATTATGCCATTTTGGGCTGGGTTTTGTCATTTTAAACCCAAAAACTCCCTTAGGGCAAAATGACATTTGGAGAAATTCACTTGGTCTTCTCAGAAAGTTGGGAGAAACTTTTTCTTTACTGATAGCATTTTCGCTTCATATGGCTTTAAAACAATATAGGTCGAGGGGTATCACATTTCTTGCACAGCTCGATCGGTCAGTGCGGAACACATGTAAGACTCCTTGCTCGCGCGACCAATTTCGGCTAAACCAATGTCGACGAACCGATGTCGACGAACCGATGCTGCAGTTGTCGAAGAAGGTATGATAGTCCTATGAGGAGGTATGATATGAGCTTCGATAACTACGTTCGTCGGGTGGAAGAGGTGTCGAAGGATGCAGGAGGGGATAGTGCGGAGAGGAACTAATGTGAATGTGGCTACTGTGAGTACATATCTCGCATCCAAGAATGCAATGATTCAACCTCCCGTGTTCTGACTTTCTGTGGCTCTGCAATGAGAAATTTCGACCTGCCGCGTCTGTCAAAATCGGACTTCAACTCGGCGGGATTTGGCCCATTTTGACCTTTTCAAAACAAACTCAATTTTTCACCTTTATTCGCATTTTCAATGACCAACTTGCTGGCAAACCAGCAGTAACGTTATCCGGGAAACTCCGGATACCATAACAACATCAAGTTTGAGGACAAGACAAGCGTGAGGGTGTAAGCAGCACGCACAAAGATCGCCAGACCATGCCGTCGAAGAGTAAGAAATCCAAGACCCCAGCTGCGTCTGCCGCCGCGTTAAATGTGGCTGTAGCTGCCCCCCCAGCTCCATCCAAGGCAAAAGCCACTCCCGCTGCCAAACCAGCACAGGCGACACCCGTCGTTGTGGTGCCGACGGCTGCTCAATTGGCGAGCCGGTTGGAAGTGCTTGCCGGTGGGAAGGAAAAGATGTCTAACGACTCCAAGGCTGCTGAGGAAGAGTTGGCCCGGCTTCTGAAGAACCCAAAGAAGCGCGTTCAAGGCAAATCGGAGGATCTGGACGACCAAATGCGCAAGCTGGAGTTTCGCCGCAACACCACGTCCATGTCCCTTGGCGACGAGAAGAAGCTCCTTCGCGAAGTCGAGAACATCAAGTCCCTCAAGGTGGAACTGGTCGAGTTTGAAGAGTTCAACGCGCGTGTGCAGTACTTGAAGGACAAGAAGAAGAGCTTGTTCGACACGCTCAAGCAAGCCGAGGCGCAAGAGAAGGATCTCCAATTGACGCTTCGAAAGCTCCGCTTGGCCGAGACGTTGCACGTGTCCATTACTTCGCTTGAAACCGTTTCGATCACCGTGCCGAAGGACAAGATGGGGCTGGTCGTGGGCAAGGGCTTTGCCAAGCTGCGCCAGCTCGAGGAAGCGTACAATGTGCTCTTGGACGTCGAGTCTGGTACGTGTATAAACCAAACAAATATCTGGTCTGCTTTTTGTTCTATGGAGATACAAGTTGAAGGGCCACGTTTTGGGGAATTCATTTGGTATTTAAAAAAAGATAAAGTGATATTATTTCTATTCTTTACGTAGGTTCCCAAGTCGTGCAAAGTACAAGCACTCGAGAGAACAATGCTGCGATCGAATCGATTCTGGACAATATTGCGTCTGCGAGTTTGCACTCGGTGGCGGTCCGCCCAGACACGTTGAAATTGCTGCTGATTCAAAAAGGCCGCCACCTGAAGGCCCTGGAAGCGTCTTGCTTTGTCAAGATCGACGTGAACCGAGCCGACAACATCCTTTCGTTCACATCGTCTGCGGATCGTGTGGACGCCGTGGAACGCGCCATCCACCTGCTCACGACGTCCAGTGTGACGCTGGACGTCCCCCAAGACGTTCTGCCCAAGCTCATTGGCAAGAAAGGCGAAGTGATCTCCAAGATCATGGAAGATTCCGGCGCGTTGCTCGACATTGACCGCGTCGTCAACAGTTTGCGCATCATTGGGCCATTGGAGAGCGTCCAGATTGCCCAGGCGGCCGTGGAGGCCTTGATTTTCGACCAGGGCGCGTCCACTTTGGACGTGTTTGCGACGGACGAAGCGTATTTTGGCCAATGGGATGCCACCAAGTTTTCCGTGTTTATCGAGTACTTGATGGCCGACAAGGCCGTGCGGCTGCGCGACCTGCGCAGGGACGCCAACGACTGCCGCTTGCAAGTGGTCAAGGTATGCTTATTTCAACTAATCAGACGTCGCTAGTTGGTGCTAGTGAAACGTATTGTTGTCTTTTTACCCAATATTTAGACTTTTGTGCTGAATCACCAAATCTATCGATCGATTGTTCTTTGTACTGAATTTTGTATGGAAAGGGTCCTGTGGTGATTGGTATCACACTAATTGAAGTCGCACACTAATTTGACTTTGTTGATGGTTTCCTGCAATCGGATTGGCTAATTCCTTCTGTACACATATTGGTTGTGTCGATTCCATTCTCCATGTCAGTCCAGTTTGGAATAAACACAAGAATAACTAGCCATGTGCGTCAATCTACCATAATTAGGCCAAGCAAATGTTTGAAGCCAACGGCAACCGTACGCAACTGGAGGCGCTCAAAGGAGCGATTCAAAAAGCCGTGGCCGAGTTCCAAGCGAACGTTGTGTCGTTCGACGTGGACTCGAATTGTTTGAGTTTGATCATTGGAAAGAAAGGCGCCAAAATCAAGCACATTGAAAAGGAAAGCGGCGGGGCGCGCATCGACATTACCGGCAACACGGTCAGTGTGTTGGGGACGAAAGAACAGGTAGGTGCATGCATGCATAGCGGCGCCCCAAGAGTGTCTGCCGCTGTATGTATATATGTATGTATACACATGGTAATTTCTTCTTGTAGTCGGACGTGGCGGTGGCGTTGGTGGAGGAGATCGTAGCCAACAACCAGCGCGCCATCGTGCACGCGTCGTCGCACTTGGCGCCTCTGCTGCTGACCAACAAGCGAGCCAAGCTGGCCGAGATCGAAAAGGAAACGAAGAGCAGCATCCAGCTGCCCCAAGGCCCCCCCAAGAAGACCAAGCACAATGCGGACATCGCCATCACGATCACGGGCACCACCGTACGTCGTCGGCCGCGTAAAAGTGCTGACTCGACGACTTGTAGGCTGGGATTGAACAAGCGGCTCGATTGATTGAAGCGCTGAATCGGGCACACCAAGTCGTGTACTTGCCGTTAGACCAGGACGAAGTCACGGTCGTGATTGGTAAGAAGGGCGAGACGATCCACAAGTTGGAAGCAGACACGGGGTGCCAGTTGCGCGTGCTGGACGCCGACGAGTCGTCGCCGTCTCGGGAACTACAGCTGGCAGGCAGCGAAGACCAGTTGGCGGTGGCCACGGCGGCCATCGACTCGCTGCTCAACTCGTCTCATCGCCAAGTGCTGTCGTTTGATGACTTCGCCATGGGGGTGATCATCGGTCGCAAAGGCGAGCAAATCAAAAAGCTGCGGGAGGAGTTCCCGCACGTGGCGATTGATGCGTTTCCCCACGGCCAAGTGCGCGTCAAGGGCGCGTCCAAGGAGCTCGTGGACAGCGCCGTCGCGGCCATTCTGGACTTGCTGCAGACGACCACAGTACAGGAAACGGTGAAACTTCCGGCCGACTCGACCAGCTCCTTTGACACGTACTTCAACGACGCTGCCACGGCGCTGTACATTTCAGAATTGGAGGCCGAAGGCTCGGTCAAGACCGTGGTGCTCGAGCACGGCAAACTGGTCAAGGTACGGGGGCTTGGTTTTCTTTTGATACTTCCATATGTTGAACGATCATTCATCAACGAGTTGACGTGGCAGATCCGAGGGTCCGCGCTCGGCGTGGGCAAAGTGAAGCACTTTTTGGAAATGGTGACCGAGTCGCATGTGGCGATTTCGATTCCGCTGCCGTCGGCCGGACACGTGGCGTCTCTCCAGGGCTCGGCGGCCGGCAGCCTCCACGAAAACGTCCAGCAAATCGTCAAGCAGACCAAGACGGTGATCCGGTTCAAACCGGACAAGAAGAGCTACTCGGGCGTCGTCTTGTCCATCGAGGGGCCGTCGCTGCCCAAGGTGCTCGAGGCCAAGCGTCGCGTGGAAGTGGTGCTGCAGTTCTTCTTCCCCACACACTTCAAAGTGCTGTCGCCGGTGCCGCCGTCGTCGATTGCTCGCGTGTTCCAGACGGCGCCGCTGCTGTCCAAATTCAACGTACGGTGCCGCCTGATTGTCCATATTAAATGGGACTAACTTTCTTGTAGGCTATCCTGTCGTTGGGAGCGAAAGACGCGATCAAGATCTTCACCGACTCGGAAGCCAACACGCAAGTCGTGTACAAGACGCTTCAGGAGAGCTTGCGTGCCCACTTGAAGGAGTACAAGGACGTGATGATCCCGTCGTACTTGGCGCCCATCATCGTCGGCAAGAACGGCGATACCATCAAGCGGCTGTCCGCTGAGAGCCACGCGACGTTCTCGTTGTCTGCCGTGGACAATGACGCCCCCACGGCGCCCCGAACCCTGACCATTCACTCCAAGGTCGAAGCGAACGTGACTGCTGCGGTACGGCACTGTGACCATTGGATGATGGTTGGTTAGTTGAAGATGGAACTGTGTGGTTAATACGCTAGATCAATCTGGTTCAACACTTGATCGACACGTACGACAGCGAGTGCGTGACTGCGCATGTCCCTGTGGACCTCGTGGACGTGGCGCTAGCGTTAAAGCGCAAGGGGGCGGCCAACGTGTCGTTTTCAGTCGACAAGAAGGGCCCAGCTGGCGCCGTGATCAAGGTATGACTGTAAAATGCAACTACCCGTGGGTAATGTTGTATATATGGCTAGATTCATGCCAAAGACATTGGCGAACGGGCTGCAGCGTTGCAGCGCCTGGAAGAACTGGTGGCCAACTCGGCAGCACTGACGATTGTGCTGCCGTCGGCTGACATTGTTGGTGCATTGATTGGCAAGAGCGGAGCCAACATCAAGGCGCTACAAGCCGAATTTCCAGGTAGAGCATGATAGTGATGTTTGCTACGTTTGCTTACGGCGACCAAATACATCACATGCACTATGTTGTGGTCGTAGGTTTGCACATCGACATCAAAAAAGACGACGCGACCGGGGAAGGCCGTGTGTCTTTGAAAGGGGATAAGGCGGCCGTGGCGCTGGCCAAGGAATGGGTGGACGACAAGATCGCCTCTGCCGTGTCGAACCAACGAGACTTCCTCAAGCGCCAACAAGCGCAAGCAGCGTACCATGCTGCCGCCGCCGTGGATAAGCGGGCCGAACCAGTGCAGCAAGAAACCTCCGAAAACGACGTTCCGCCTAAGCCGAAGTCGGCGGGGGCGTACGTGCCGATTGGAGGCGAAGTCAAATTGAACAAGACCCAGCGCCGCCGCGAACGCAAGCGGGCGGACAAGCAGGACGGCGTGCTCTCCATGCTGGTGGGTGGCAACGACGCGCCGCGAAGCGGCACGTATGGTCAAGCGGCCGCGGCGTCCTCGTCCCAAGGAGTGCCTGGTGGTGGGTATTACCACTCGGCGGACGGATATTCCCTGCGCTTGTAACCCATCAAGCACGGCCCACAGTTGAAAATCGAGTGTGAAACTGTACTTTGACGTAGGTTAACGATATCTTCTGCTGCATGTGTGTGTACAGTGTAGTAGTAGTCTATGTGCGCGGCAGCGCTTGCTCCCGTTCGTGGGCCGTCTTGAGCCCGACCCCGGAGATCTGCTTGACGTCGTGGCTGTCGACAGGTTCGTCGATTCCCAACGCTTGGCGGGCTTCCGACATGATAAACACACTTCCGCACACGACCACAACTTCGTCTGACGAGCTCGCGGCTGCAGCTACACACACATGAGGTCTTGTATGGCTGCTGCGTTTTTTCATTGCGTTTCGTACCGCGAATGGCGGCGTTGACGCCGACACGTACACTGGTTTCACTTTCGTGGGAAGAGGGATGGAAGGACACCAAGCCCGACGATGCCTTCTACCACATCACATCCCAGTTTCAGATCATAACAACAATTGAGGCAGGCACCAACCTCGCCCAGAGCATGCTGGATTTCCACCACGGATGCACATCGTGGATGGTACCCCTGTACGAAATGCACGTGGGAGGCGCGGGTGGCCACGATCGAGTCGATCACGTGGGCAATGTCCTTGTCTGCAGAGAACCCACACACAAACCGAAACGAATGATGCTGGTACGAGCTCTATCATATTTGTGACGAAGAACGCCCACCCCTGTATGTGTCGCCCGCCCACCTGGAGAAGTTTGAGCAGCCGGTCAAACGCAGGCAAGTTGTGCGCGACGTCCAGCACCACCGTCACGTCCGAGTTATTGGTCGCGACAGTTATTTGTTCGAACCGACACGGCGGACGAGAGGCAATCGCGTGGCGGACGAGTGGGTTGCCCAGTTGAATGTGCACCTACAAAAGTGATATATATGTCAGTTTGTATCATGTGATACATATATCAGTTTTTGGCTTGGATGTATAGATGATATATAGAGATTGAACTTTGACCTTGCTTTTCGCGCTTTGGTTCAACGTTTCGGCAGCCAAGACGGCCAAATCAGTGTTTTCAAGATTGAAGTCGTCAGCGTACGCCGCTTGTGGGTCCAGGAACGAGATCGACGCCTTCGCGCGTTCGGCAAACTACATTCGACGCATCAAGCAAAATGGGAAGATGGCAAGGAAGCATACCTCACGCATCACTTGTGGTTGAGTGTTTGGCCCACAGACAACGGGAATAGTAGGTTTGATGATCCCAGCCTTTTCCCTGGCGATTTCAGGCAACGTGGAGCCCAAAATGCGGGTGTGGTCGAGTCTGTGGTTTGCGATGACGGCGTGCTTATCATTAGGAGCAGTTGTGTACGTACCCAATGGAAGTAATGACAGAGACAACCGGTTCGACGATGTTCGTGGCATCCAGCCGCCCTCCCAACCCCGTCTCCAGCACGACGCAGTCCACTTCTTCGTGGGCAAAGTGCTGCAGCGCCAACGCCGTAGTGAGCTCGAAAAACGTGGCTGGGATGGCCAGCTGAGACGTTTTGTCGAATATGTGCGGCAGCAATGCCTCGACTTGGTCTTCGGAAATGAGCGCGCTGTTCACTTGAATGCGCTCGCGGAAGCACGACACGTGTGGTGACACAAACAACCCTGTCTTGAACCCGGACGACTCCAGAGCTTTGGCCAGTTTCCAAGACACTGATCCTTTGCCGTTGGTGCCTGCGACGTGAATCGTGTCGAAGCGCTAGTCAAGGTTTGCTCGATCAGCATGTGCACGTGGGGCACATTGCCATACCTTGGCTGGCGATCCCAATGCTTCATGCAGCGCAATGGAGTTACGCAGTCCCATCTTCACCGTGTGTGGGAACTGGTTGACCCGCAGCAGGCGCTGGATGAGCCGATCGTACATGGTCATCGCCTGCAACAATGCATCAATCGACACAACACCATTGCTCAACCCATTGTGCACTATCCAATCACCGACAAGTATTATACTTGGGCCAATCACGTCCGGACATCACGGTGTAGACCGCATCCGATTGGCTAAACCCTGGATTCTATCGTTGAAGTCACGACTGTTCGTACAAGTGAGGTGGCAGCGCGGCGGCGTGCCTTGTCATGATGCCAACCGCGCTCCTGCCGCTGACCAAAAGTCCAACCAAGGTCAAGCACCCCCCTCAGCATGGCGATGGCCATTCGTCGCCATCTCCGCGCAAAGCCAAACAAATGCTAAAGTCGAGCGAATTACGAGGACTCGAGTTCACGTCTAGGGACCACGTTAACATTCTCCCTGGCAACTACGCCGAGTACAACAGCAACGGGACCGGAACCCTGCAAGACATATTTCAATTCGACCAAAAGCTACGGGACGCAGCGCCCATGGCCCAATTGCTGCATCCAAAGTTGAACTTGCACGACTGGAGCGTGGCCAAGCAAGACGGCAAGGCGGAACAATTGACCTTGTTGGCATCCAACAAGCTCACGTTTGAGATTCTAACCAGTGACCGTGGACAACGAGTCGTTTCGTCCCTCGTGAAGCAGTGGGAAGCAGACAAACACTCGGACAATGTCAGTCTCTCGTCACTGTCACTGTCACTCTCTCACCAGGTAATTTGAGCAGGGTCGGAGCTTGTGGGCCATCGTGGAAACGTTCTTCACGTCGCTGCCGTTTGTCTTTGTTCGGGAAGCCGACATGAACTCCAAACTCGTGCTTCGATACATGTCGGCGCTGTCAGCCCTCAAAGAAGTCATCGTCCAAGGGCTGTTCTGTACCAACGTGTCAGCTGCGATGGCCGTCACGGCGACGCTAACACCCACGCACCACGAAAAGATGCCACTGTATTGGTACTGTCACCAACTGGAACGCGAGGTGCAACTGCTGAAAAACTCGACGTCCGACCAGTCGTGGGAAATGGTACGACTTCCAAATGGCCACGAAACTCGCTTCACCACATCCACAGGTTCACTCGTCCGACATTGGCCTTCTCCAAGAAGCCACTGCAAACGTTCTGCTGAACTTTTGGAAGCTGCCAAAGCGCGAGCGCCTGGCGGTTTTGGTTCAAGTCTTTAGCAACGTCAGCGAGATCGACACGGATTTGGTGCGCGTACTGCTCGACAGCAGCACGTACATCTTGCAACGCGTGCTCGAGGATTTGGGGTTTGAAGCGAAAGCGAACAGTCCAACGAAACAACAACCGCCTCAACCTTCGAAACTTTCGACCATCGGTGCGGTCGTGTCCATGTCGGTCCAAGCCAGCAACCAAGCGCGGCAGCTACACAAGTGGCGAAAGCACATGCGCTCCCACGACGACAAACAAACGCTGGAGCCGATTCCAGTCCGGCACAAGGGTATCCAGGTCAACGGTGGCGACATTGAGATCGAATGCGCGTTGGGGCGTCTCGACTCGCCTCCTCCGCGAACCCCCAACACCCGGCTACGTCGCTCGGTCATCGCAGCGGACAAAGGCATGAAGCTGGTACTCATGCAGGACTACCAGCCATTTGGCCGGAATAACCACCCGCATTTACTCACCAAGGACATGTGGACGGTCAGCACGTACAGCGAAAACCTCGTGCACCATTTGCATGCGTTCGTTGAGTACTCCAACGACACGACCACTGTGCCTGGAGATATTGTGCTTGTGGCCACGATGCTCTTGGAATGGTAGCACATTCGTGTATTGGTTCTGAAGCACTAGTTGATTCGAGTGGTAGGCTCATGCATGAAAAGATGAACGCGGCGTACCACGCCAAAGATGCGTCGATGGAGGTTTTAGACAGTGTGCACTTTCAACAGTGCGCCATCGCGCTTCTGGGATTGTTCCAGACCCAGCCTGACCACCACGTGCCCGACAACATCAAGATGCATGCCACGTCGCTTGTACAATTCATCCAACGCCGAAACGACAGCAGTGATTTCATTCCACGTCCAAAGTAAAAAAGTCCTCTGTACGATGTGTTGGTTGTGACGTACGTTGGTAGAGCTACGGTCGAGGCAACGAATACTGCGGTGACGCCTGCCGACCTTCGGGCATACTTGCGAAAGGGGTTCCCCGCGGACGTCGTGAATCAAATTCTGAACATCACGAACGAAGAAGTGGGGAAAGAGAAGGAGAGCAAGACGCTGCTCTTGATCGAGCAATTGGAGCACCATATGTTAGGCAAACTGCACCCACGTCCAGGCGCCACCAAGAATAACCCTGCGACCCAACCACCGCCGCACCATCCAGACCCCATAGGGTTTGGGGAGCTCTCGACCACGGCCTCGCGACGGCATAGCCACACGTCGACTGTGGTCAAGACGCTCACGGACCAGATGAAGGCGCTGCTCATTGACGCATCGGATGGAAAGGTCAACGACGACAAAGCGTCGGCGCTGCTGCTAGCGTTTGTTAACCAGCATAAACGAGAGTCTGAGTTGGGCCACGACCGCGCAAAGATGCTCAACATTGAGTCACTGTGCAGCGTGCTGGAAAAGAAGGTCGAGTTGGAGCTCCACGCGGGACCGCTGGACAAATCCACGCGCGCCCACGTCGCGACGCTGCAGAAATTCATCAACAAGCTCGTGCCAGAGGGATTGCCACGTGGCGGTGCCAAGATAGCCCCCAAGCCAGGGAGCGTGTCGGAATTGCATCAGCTGCTCGATCAAGCGTTGGCGAAACAGAGCGGAATCGATGCGCAAGTCACGACTGTGCTCGAAACCATCCAAGTACTACTTCAACCCTCGTTTCGTCACGCAGTAGAAACAGTTTTGATTCGTGTAGATGGTCTTGGCGAAAACTCAAGTCAAACACAAGGGGGCGTCGTTGGACACTTGCCTGCATACGATGGTGGACGCCCTGCAAGCTAGCGGAGATGGGTGTTTGGTCGCATTTTGCAGTGGATTGGAAGACCTTGTGGCGATGTTGAAGGTCCTTGCGTCGGCAGGTTCAACGGGCAATGATGGCCCCGTTGCAAATGGCAGTGGCTCCAACGACAAGTACATGAGCTCAGCTAACAATGGCTCTACTGGCATTGGCCCCGGAGGGTCTCCCATCGCAAACATTGACAGCGTCGTCAACGATCCTCGTATCAACGCGATACCACTTTGCATCGTGGATTTGTCGAAGCAACTGAAATCCGTCGTCGACAGTGCAGCCCTCCACCAACGATCATCGCTTCAAGACAATGGGGAACCCATTGCGAGTACGAAAAGTGGCGCGCTTCTCCCGACGACGCTGCGTCACCCAAGCCTAAAGGACGACAGCCAGCCCGTGGCCCAACGGGTTCGAAAGGTCCAGGGTGGAGCCCAAGCAGCTGGAAACCTGCCTGAAACGTTGTGGGAAAACACCAAACTCAAAAAGCCCAATGTGCTGGGCATTTCCGCCACGGAGTTGTCAGAGATGTTTGTCGATAACAAGACCGTGTTGAACATTGGCACAGTGCACAAACTCATCTACCAGGTACACAAGGTCAATGTTGGGATCCATATCGCAACACTGTGAGATCTGTAGGTGTACTGCGAACGCTACGAGTGCAATTTAACCGAGCAAGACAACCCCAACTCGACAGCGTTCATCGATTTTGTCTATGATTGGTACTTGAGAAAGTACGAACGACATTGCACTTGTCCGTGGCGTTGACCAGCACTTTTGATGTTGCTAGATATGGGCTCCGCAAACTGGCAATGCAGCACTTGTCCAAATTGCTGCTGTCGCTCAAGAAATTGAAAAAGAAGAGCAAGAAAGCAGTGCTGTGAGTACTGTCTGTAGAAGTCGACTTTTGTGGCGAGATTATATATATATCTCTGGATCGAATAGGTTTTGTCGGTTTCTCGGGCTATTGCCGCCGTTGTTTGACTACAGCGCGCTCAATTTTGCACTGGTAAGGACACATCGAAACAGCAATATATCTAATCGTGATATATCGCTAGGGGTTGTTAAACGTGTGGACGAACGGCACGTTTGCAGTCTTGTCCACAGCCAACCCCGTGCCGCTCTCGACCATGTCGATCATCTTGGACGACGGGTAAATATATATATAATGTGGCCATTCATAATATTTCTCCCTTGTTCTATAGCTACGATCGGCGGTTTGGTCCGTTTTGCACGACGTCGTTCGTGAAGGAGCGGCTGACCCGCAATGCTTGTGCGGACGACCCAACGTCCATTGACCAAGACGTAGCCCTGGAAATTGCACTGGAAGAATACGTGAAGATGAAATCATCCGTGGAGGCGGTACTACTACGGCTAGCAATATGTTTACATAAATCTATCAGTGGAACATATATATATATGTATATACTCGTGTAGATGCTCGAAGATATCTACAAGGCAGGAGATATCAGCGGGGACGACACGATGAGCTTTGACGAGTTTGCGACAGTGGTGCGCAACTTGGCTCCGTGTGTGTCAGATCGCGAGGTGTGTGTGGTTCATTCTAGTACTAGTACCAGTACTAGTAGTAGGAGTAGTAGTACTAGTAGTAGGTTGATTGATAGAGAACTTTCTATTTAGATCGTGAAAATGTTCAAAGAAGCATTGTTGGACCCAACATTTGTTACAATCACCAAGCAACGGTTTGTGAATGTCGTGATTGACCAAGGCGTGCTGTCCAGCCGCGTCAACAAGTTCAAAGTGCCCACGTCCGGCGCCACCAACTCGTCGACGTTCCCCGTGCGTCCGTCCACATCATAATATATTAGTTGATTGGGTACATAACAACTAGGAATACGAGAACGAGCAATTTGAGCTCTTGGAAGAGTCATGGCGGGTATGTATTATGCATGTCCAAAACGGGTGGCTGTGAATGCGCGATGGTAGAGCCACGAAGCGGACATTGTCAAGACCATCGAAAGCATTCCGCACAAGGAAACGTCCGCGTCGTTGCTGCTACGCGTCAAGATTCTCAACATGGTTTGTATACTCGAAAATGATTTTCACGACTAAATTCATGTGTTTGTTGGAGTAGATTATAGCCAAACGCATCGACTCGGAGACCGCGTGGCTGTCGCATCGCATGATCCTGCGTGACGTTCATCGGTTCAAAGACTTGAACGAAGGCGCGATCAGCGAGATCAAGCAGAAGGAGGAGAACTTCAAGGAAGCAGTTACGCGCATCATGAAATTCAAGTTTGGACTGTTCACACAAACCCATGCGCCGCCAGAGCCTGCCGCCGACGGCCTCGGTGTGGGTGACCGACTGAGCTCCGGGGTCGTCGACTATGTCCAGCACATGGACGAAACCAAGAGCAGTGCGAAGGACGATGACGACATCTCTCGACTCGAAGAGTCGTTGCGGTCGGAGATGCTAAACATGACCGACGGGGCGTCCAGCGACAGCGTGCTCGAATCACAGCTCGACCAGTACGACAACGCAGTCAAGAAAGTACGACGCATGACCATGCACAAAGCTACCAACGCCGTCAAGAAACTCGCCACAGTGATGAAGATGGCGAAGTTGATGGGGGGGTCCCCCAGCCCCCCCATTCCCACGCTGAGTGAAGACGTTGAAACGCTCGACGCAGACGAAAATGTCGATTTGTAATAAACATCCACGGAAACATCCCTGGATTCGAAAACCTCTTAAAAGATATATACACATTATCAACTTTGGAGATGATTACGCGTACAGTAGTAGTACTAATGCATACTATTAGTAGCTTGCTTTTACCCTTGAAATAGAATATGTAATACCTCTATGTGTTGATAGATATCTCTCGACACGCAAACGACGCGGACGTGAGAAGCATGGACAAACCCAAGGCAGCACCCAAGGACGACCATGGGAAAGGCGGCAAAGGACAAGATGCCACCAAGGCGAAGCATCATGTGTCGAAGGATGACTTGCACCACACTCTGCATGCGCATTTCCAAACCAGCAAAGGCAAGGAAAACGACAAGGTCAAGGCGAACATCCGCAAGCATGTCGTGTCGTTTCTGCAAGTGAAGAAGGTCAAGAAGGTGCACAATTCAAACAAACGTCTGTTCAACTCGTTTGGGTCGTCTAAATGCAAGCTGTTGTGCATCACGGTAAGATTCATCCTGACAGGACAGGAATGTGAAGTCACTATCACCCCACTCTAGACGCACGAAGCGATGAACCCCGACAGCGCCGCACCGCATACCGTTGTTCAGCTGCACCATGTCAACTTTCTCTCGAACTTTACCATTGAAAGCCGCAAGACATGGTCGCTAGAGTCGTTAGAGTCCATCGAGAACTGCCTCGACGACGCGCAATTGTTTCCCAAGGGTGCATTTCGAACCCAATTCGACGACAAGGAGCATGAGCCGGCGCAGTGGATCGTTGACGACGACGTGCGACCATGATCATGCTACCATTCCACGACTTTAATGTCATGTAGGAATCCCCGACGGCCATGATGGAGTTTATATGGAGCATTCTAGCGTACTCGGCAGACACGTTGGTAGAAAAGACTTCGTTCCTACCGCCAATACATCTATATTTCACGCCAACTTGTATAGCACACATTGCCCAAGACCACGTTTTCTCTCGACGATCTCCACCTCTTATCGCAACAGCTCAACTGGGCCAAGAAATTTGCTCTAGATGTGGACTTGGCGCGGTTTCAAGTACAACTTCCAACTCCTACGACTACTGCTACATACTAGTGACTTGAGTGGTTACTAGGCAACGACCTCTACGCCCTTCGCCTCAAGCTCCAAACTCGCGCGGCAACGCTCCGCAAGCGTCGATGCGTCTGCGGCGTCCGTGGCAGAGGCGTCGTCGTGGAAGGTTCTCATATCTGGTCGACTTTCGATGGTTGATTACATTAGTCCTCGTCCATGTTTATTAGTCGATCGAGTACGACGACGCGGTCTCGTTGTTTGGCAGGATTCAATGGGGAGACTGCACTGCCGAGAGTGTCCAGTTGCAATGGCAGCAGCGGCTCAAGCTCCTAGAAGACGACAACATTGACTTTCTTCTGACTTTGCAAGCCAAGGACAAAGCCACCACGATCGACGTGATCACGTCCGCCGTGGACGTCGTCCTGCAGCAAGTCCACCGCGCGGAAAAGTGGACGGAAGAGGCCGAGGCGACGTTGGCGACAACCGCCGCCAACATGTCCCAATTCGAAACGTTGAACAACCACATGGAAATCCACTTCAAGAACAGCGTCGCGCTGCAGCAAACGCTGGACGCGATGATCCAGGTACGTACCGCCACCATGATTACGCTGTTTAGACATACATGGACACTGCCTTGAACTTTGTATATATTCGTCTCGTCAGGACACTGACATTCCACGGGATACCATGGGCTTGCTGTTGAAACCGGTGACGATATTCCCCCATGACAACAACATCCCCGAAGGTGAAGCGTCGTCCTCGGGTACGTACTGCCCAAGTCGACACGTAATACAATGTAGCTCCGATGGTTTTGATTGTTTTAAAACTTTTTCCCCCAGGTCCGTCGTTGCCCAAACTGTTGGATGCGATCCAACGCTTAGAACGTGCCATCAAGTCGGTCGACTCGTACCCGGCCAAAAACGTACAAGTGTTTATGCATCATTGAGGGGTTGTGTGGTATTCTCTCTTCTTCACGACGGGGGGGGGGCGTTATGAGATAGATGATGGCATTTCTAGCCCGTCGAGACGAGTTGTTGGCGTTGGGAGGGTCGTTTGCGGGGAAGGTGGCCACTGCCTTTGATACGTACATGCACACTCTTGCGAAAGCGACGCACAGTGCTGGTATACGTTGATGTCGCTCTCAGCCATCCATTTTTCAACCAACACTTGTCGTAGCCACCGCCGACCAGTTTGGCCAGTCGCGTCGGCGCTCGCTCAGTGGTGGCCACGAAGCGGCAAGTCCCCGCAAAAATATGTTTTCACGAGACCACCGCGAAGGGTCTGATGCCAAAGATGATCGGTACATATTACACTAGTATAATTGAGTCTACTCAAGACAAGTACCGATCGATTCACGGGTGTCACGTGGCAGAACGCGCCGCCCTAGCTCCACGAATCACGACGACGTGGATTGGAGATTTGGCAACGACAAAATGCACTCAAACCTCATCAAGTACCAGGTATGTATATCTTTTTAGTATTCGCTTCAGTGTACAACGGTTGGTTGTGGTCGCGCCTTAGGATATCTTCCAAAGCATCGTGGCGCTGAGCCCAAAGTCCGCCGTGATCCTGCGTGACGTGTATGCAAAGTACGTGGTGCCCGTGTACACTGCCCACATCCAAGCTGTGTTTCGCACGCTCAAGGACAAAGTACGTCCATACATCTCCCTCCTGAATGGCCTATATATGTATGTGTCAGCAGCGCTGCCGTAGGTGCCCAAGCCCAAACCTCATGGACTCAAGGCCTCGCAATGGAACATCAACTTGTCCTTCTCGCATGCGCCTTCCGAGTCGACCATTTCCGTCAGCGCGTCCACGCTGCTACAGCAAGCCCTCGAGCACATCGTCCCGCTTTGCATCGCCGAGCAGCAGTTCATCCACGCCATGTTCTTTGCGTCCACCAAGAAAGCAACAACCAAACCCGAGCCACTGGAGCTCACGCTGCTCATGGAGAAATTGTTTGAAAAGTACGGTCTCTGTTTGAAGGATGGTACATGGGGATATTACAACGAGGTCGTAGGCTGCCGAAGCGACTGGTGGAGTTTGGAGACGCTGGCGTCAGTGCCAACGTGTTTGAAGCTGTGTCGATGATCGTGACGTGTCAGCAACAGCTCAAGGCACTGGACACGCCGACCGAGTACGTTGTGAATACACTGCTCAACTTCCAGCTGCACTTGAAGCGAAGTCTGTCTAAGTACATGGAGGACCAAGTACGTTGGACCATATTTCCTTGTTCATGTATTGCTTCCACGCGGACGTGTGTAGGAGCTATGGCTTGCAAGTACCCATCCCGACACTAGGTTGGTGGGTGTGCTGACTCCTGTGCAGAAAATGATGGTAAGGTTGTCGTTTGAATGGCTCATTTCTCAAATGTCCTGTACGATGCCCTTAGAACTTGGTGACGCGGTTGGATGAAGCTGCCGCAGGCATCTCCAACGACGAGTCGGACAGTCCCCTGCCTGCGATATACGACCGCATCATCGTGGGTCTGTTTGCATGGCTCGACAAAGCGGCGGCAACAAAGCCAAAGTACTCGCATTTGGTTCGACTGGGTAGGATATTGGGCTTCTTGTATACTAGTATATATATCAATACACGGTTAACACTCGTACGATGTTAGAAAACTACCACTTTATTCACGGGAAGCTGCAAGGGCTGAGCGAGCACAGCGTTCCACTGAAGCGATACACGGACGACTCGTTTGCTGCGTATTCCACGAATCTGGACGCGTACGTGATGTGGTTGTGGGAGTGCGAAGTGGGCAAGTTTACGGTATGTACAGTGACGACCTCGTAGTCGTGTATATGCCGTGAACGTCATCGCAGGCACTATTCGCCACGATCGAGACACACTTGGAGTCGCTGCCGGTGAAAGAAGTGCAATTTCACTTGCCCAAGCAAGACGTGCGCAAGGCGGGGGAGCTGATCCATCAAAATGTACGACCTAACGCAGCGACGAATGGTCGTCAGTGTGTTGATTGATAATGCTGTACGTAGCTGGACAAGAGCATCAAGCATATCGGGGAACGGTTGAAAAAGCACTTGAGTCACTCGGGTGACATGGCCGCTGTCGTCGTGCAGTGTCTTCGCGTACGTCGCCCTTGGAGATGGAATCATTTTTAGTTGTTTTACAAAATTATACTCTTATTTATTTTGTAAATTGTAAGGGGAATACAAGTAACAGGAAATTTGAGAGGAATGCGTGTGATGTTGTTGTTGGGGTAGGCCACAATTCTCAAGACTTACGAGCGCCACGCAATGCTGGCGAAGAAATGCTACGACTTGGAGCTGGATTTGACCGTAGACCGCCTCCGAACGTCGCTGGAAAAGCTGCATTGATCATGATCATGCCGTGCATGTCAAGCGTACAAATAGTATTGCAATACATACTATGTTCGGTCAGAACTTGGACTTGTTTTGAATCTGTCGCACAAGGTTATGTACTGTACGATACAGTACCTCCTCGACTTGACTGGGAGATTCACCAGACGTATTACTAGTAGTAGTTCGCATATTATATTCGAGTCATCCAAGTAGCATACTGGGCAGTACTAATTTACTGGTAATATATCATGGTATGGATAATAATATTAATCAAATTCCCAATGAGAAATATTCTCATTGGCAGGATTAGCCAATTAAATCATAGCATTTGGATTGAGTTCACAGCAAGATAGCCAATCATGACAAGGTAACCCAAGTCCCACTATTTTATTGGCATTGCCAATGAGAATATTTCTCATCGGGACGAATGATGGAATATTAAACGTTACTAGCGATTCTGAGTATATTAATATGCTTAGGTTAACTGTAACCTTGCCCACAATAAATTATTTTCATCGACAGCTTTACATAGTTTACCCAAAATATTTCTTATGTATACTTAACTTGTGACTTGGACTTGCATCCCATTCGTAGTGCTTTCCGGGCGTATGTGGTCCAGCAAGTATTAATATACTACTTTGAAGTAGTAGTTTGGAACCGATTCACAGCGTTTGCATCGATGAGGACTTATTCAAAAATAGGAGAACGTCTACCCGTAGCTGCTAAATATACACCAGCACTTGATGGACTTGGAGAGGTCAAGCAGCGATCCCACCTATAAATAATGCGCAGGAAACCATACCGGTTGAAACGTTTCGTCGGTTATCTGGCAATAGTTTCGGTTACTCCCCAATCGACACGCGATGCCTCTGACCAGCGGCAGGGCCCATGCGGAAACGACCTCCGGCGGTATCTTGCACAAGCGAACGGCGTCTTCTACGACCATTCCTGTAATACTGGCGGAGCCCCCAGTCGGACGCGCGCTGTTCATCAACGACGCGGCGGCCACGGCGTCGGCCATGACGGGTCTGGGGAAGGAGTATGCTGGGAACGCTGTGCGGACGTCCAAGTACACGTTGGTCACGTTCTTGCCCAAGACGTTGCTGGAGCAGTTCCGCCGCGTGGCCAACTTTTACTTTTTGGTCATTTCACTGCTGCAGCTTGGCACACCGTACTCGCCCACAAACAAATACTCGACGATCGTGCCGTTGATATTGGTGTTGTTCGGTATCGTAGCAGTCCCTTGACAACAATCTCGATAGATAACAGCATTACCATGGGTTTGAATGTAGCTACGATGGTCAAGGAAGCCGTGGAGGACAAGGCAAGGCACGACGCCGATCGCATGGTGAATCAATCGAAAGCAGAAGTGTTTGACGTGGATGCGCAAGCGTGGATGGAGATGCTGTGGAAAGACGTGCGCGTGGGCGGTACGATACAACAGCACACACCACATGTAACCGTTGCATGCAGATTTGGTTCGCGTCATGGAGACACAGTCGTTTCCCGCGGACCTCGTGCTTCTCACGTCGAGCTCCAACGACGGACAAGTGTATGTCGAAACGGCCAACCTGGACGGCGAAACAGACTTGAAGGTGATTGTTTAGTATTACTAGAGGCTCGTGGTGTGTGTGTGCCCCTCAACATGCAGTCGTCGTCGTAGATTCGTTGCTGTCCAGACGCCAAAGGCATCGAGCTGGACGCGGGGCTGTTTCCGTTGGAGCTCGCGGGCGAAATCACGTGCGAACAGCCGAATCGGCGCCTGTACACGTTTGCTGGCGCGTTGAAGATCAAGGTACAACGCCCCCCCCACCCCATGGTGCGCGCTTTCAAAAACTAAAAAGAGTTAGGAACAACATTCGCAACAACAATCCGTCGAGATTGCGCTAACGATCAACAACCTTGTGCTTCGGGGCATGACCTTGACCAACACCAGTATGATCGTGGGGGTCGTTGTCGCCGCTGGAAACGAGACCAAACTCATGCTGAACTCGAAAAAGGTTGGTGGATGGTGTGGTCCGTCTACATGTTTCCAACACGTGACGTAGACGCCGTCCAAGTTTTCCCGCCTCGACGCGATTGCGAATCGGTGCATCGTGCTCATCTTCACGGTGCTATTCCTCGTGTGCTGCGCGTCCACGGCCATGAGCATCGTCACAACCCAGCGCCACGGCAACCGAATCGCCCATATGGCTCACGTCGCCGACATCAACGACGACCCCGAAGCCTCGTTTCTAAGCTCGTTCTTGACCTACTTGATCTTGTACAACAACTTGGTACGTCAATCGACCGACCCCTTGTCACTGCATGCTCAGTGTCTGTAGGTGCCAATATCGCTCTACATTTGCTTGGAAATGGTGAAATGGTATCAAGCCAAGAACATGGAGTCGGACCAGGCGATGGTATGCATTCACCAAGTGACGTAGGTTTTTGGCTGCGGTGGTTTCTAACGAGTTTCAATGCATACAGGTGGACCCTGTCACAGGCCGATCTGTCCAAGCACGCACGTCCAACCTGAACGAAGACGTGGGCCAGATCAAGTACCTCTTCAGCGACAAAACAGGTAGTACCGATCCCAATCATTCAGGTTCGGTCAACCAACTAACAAATCTGGATGAGCAGGCACGATTACGCGAAACGAAATGGTGCTCAAGTACATCCACGTCAACAACCGAGTGTTTGAAATGTCTCCCCCTGTATGTCCATACCATCCCCCAACCCCCACAAATACCGACTTGCTGAATTGTCAAACGAATACAATGGTTAGACGCTACCCGATCATCAATACCCGGTGCAACGCGAGGCGTCCTTTCAACGCGGACACACTGTGGCCCTCCAGCAAGCGGGAACAGCCCCAAATCAACGCGACCCGACCGACATTCAGCACGAGTACTTTCCAGCGCTAGAGGCTCTGGGAACAAACCCCCTGTCCTTTCCTGGCTCTGAATTGGTTGGTCGATGTAGCAGTAGTTAGTTGGGAAGAGCTAACTATGTGACTTCTCAGAGCACAGTGTTGGACGGGTCAACCAAATTTATGACGGCGGGGCAGCTGGCGCAAGCGTTTTTTCGGTGCGTGTTGCTGTGCCATACAGCAACTGTGTCAGCAACGGGCGACATTCGAGCGTCGTCGCCCGACGAAGCGGCACTGCTCCGCGCGGCCAAGTTGTTGAATTGCGAATTCATTGGACGCACAGAGAACATACTCGACATCAGGTGAAACTAGTGTAGCTACTGTACAGATCACACTGATATCACTTGAGTAGTGTGTTTGGGGCCCGAGAACGCTACGAACTCCTCGCCCTGAACGAGTTCGATAGTACGCGCAAGAGCATGTCGGTTGTTGTGCGGGTGCTGAAGGCGACAAATATCTCCAACGAGGACGGTATGACTGGCGTACTTTGAAATATTTATTTATTGATATTACATGATATATATATATTGATGTTCATGTCGTAGACATGTGGGTGTTTTGCAAAGGCGCGGATAGTACGCTGCTGTCGGCGACCAACAACTACCTCATGCAAAAAAGCACCGAGTTCATGAGCCGCCACGTGCAGTACTTTGCATCGTTGGGGTTGCGCACGCTTGTGTTTGGGTACGTGAACCCAATCCTCTCAAACTAGTAATAATACTATCATCGTTCGTAGGTATAAGCGGGTGTCGTTTGTCGAGTTTACGACGTGGTTTGTGGCGTATTGCAAGGCCAAGACGTCGCTGGTGCGGCGGGCGACCAAACTTAGGGAGTGCGCTCGGTCCATGGAGACCAATTTGACTATCCTGGGCGCCACGGGGGTCGAAGACCAGCTGCAGGATGGGGTTGCCGACTGCATCGAGGCTCTCAGCGAGGCGGGGTACGGACGTTTTCCACAATGCTGGTATTTTTCTCTTACGCGACGAGGCATGTAGGATCAACATTTGGATGTTGACGGGCGACAAGGACGAGACAGCCGTGTCGGTAGGGACAGCGTCCGGACTGATCTCGGATCATTCGCACCTCGTCGTGATCAACGAAACGTCCAAGCGCGGGTGCCTTGAACAGATTGCCACCGCGCGGCGAAAGCTCAAGAAGATTGGTATGTACGAACCCTTTCGTATGTTGTATAAATGGTTGTGGACGACAGGGCTGTGGCGGCAAGGGGTGGCGTCTCGGGACGTGTCGCTTGTGATCAACGGGGAAGCGCTCGACAGTTTGCTGTCTGTGGAGGACCCATCGTCGGCGTCCGTCTCGAGAGTGAGCAACATCTTGTCGTCCAATCACGACAGAATGCTAAGCAACGCCGCCACGGCCAACACGACGATGGCATTGTCGCCTGTCGCGAGTGGCGAGTACTCTCGCAAACGCCTCGAGAACCGATCCCCTTCGGCGACGTCCACAGAGTGGATGGGCCAACGGCCGTCGGGTGGGATGCTACGCCACAGCACGTCCATGGGTCGAGTGGGTGCCCACTCAAGAAGTCACCTAAAAAATAATACTTCTGGTGACCTACAAAGTGAAGCATCTCTCACGTCGCTGCTGCAGTCGCGACGCCAGTTGGCCAAAAAAACGACGCCTGAGGTGGCGAGCACGAAACTCATGCAAGTGGAGCCCCTGGACCACCGATCGTCCGAAGTCGAGAGTTCGTCTGCATCGCCCGGGGATAGCAACCGCGCGACGTCCAACGTGCTGTCATTTTGGAGGTCTATGCTCATGGCCAGCAACAAGTCGTTTGGTGACCTCCCTCGCACGACCAAACCAAACTTGGGCGACGCGCCCAAAGTGCCGTATCCGTCCAAAGGCGGTGTCGCTACCTCGCAATCCCTAGCAACGTTGCATCCTCCGCAATGGAAAGTGAAGGCGGTGGCGTTGTCGTCCACGCTGGGATCCATGGCCGAGCTGCCGGCGTCCCCTTCGTTGGTGCAACTGTGCAGAGAAAACCTCGCGGAACAACGGCGCCGCTCATCCACGTCGATGGCGACTTGGTTTGGAGGACAAGTCAACGCCGTGGGGCGAATGGCCAAGAATTTGGTGTCCAAGGGGACCTTGAGCCCCGTCGCGACTTCCTCCGCGACCCCCCCTCTTCCCCTCGCAGTGACGTCCGAGATCGGGTCGCTTCTGGTGCCAACCAGCTTGGCGGCATTGCATCGATCGATGTCCCATCTTTCGCTCCAGTTGAACGCCGCCATAAGGTCGAGCACCACCGCCAAACATGCTGCTCGAGGTACCAAGTCGTGATACTGGGGTCTAAGCTGACGATGAAAATGGAATTAGTGCCTCGCAGCAACGACGACGACGATGAGTTTCCCGTGCTTCGGTTGAAGCACCTCGACTCGGACTTGGCTGTGATCATGTTCTTACAGCTCGTCACGCAGTGTCGCTCGGTGATTGCGTGTCGCCTGTCGCCGATCCAAAAGGCGCAAATTGTCGCGCTCATCAAGTCGAGGTGCCAGTACAAACTTGGGCCGTATCGAATAATGTGTATTATTTCATGGGTAGCAAACATCGTCCGATGACCATGGCCGTGGGCGATGGCGGCAACGACGTGAGCATGATTCAAGAAGCTAACATTGGCGTCGGCATTTACGGACACGAAGGTATCAGAGAGAGATACGGTAGTACATAGTTGAATCGTTGTTGGTAGGCATGCAAGCGGTGCGCAGTGCCGACTTTGCGATCGGGCAGTTTCGGTTCCTCTCGAGACTCATTCTCGTACACGGGCGGTGGAACTACCGCCGCGTATCGATTGTGATTCTGTTTTCGTTTTACAAAAATATGGCGCTCATCATGACGCTGTTTGCGTACTCGTTTTTGAATGGCCATTCTGGTCAAACCCTGTACGAGTCGTATCTCATGGTCGGCTGGAACGCCTTGTACACGTTCTTTCCGATTCTTGTGCTTGGTGCGTATATATATATATGATTTATATATATATAAAATAACGTTTTTTTCTTTTTTTTTCTTCGTTATATAATATAAAAATAAAATTATACATCAATATATTTATATTAACACCCACGGAATGTGGTATTATGTTTGACTCAGGAATCAAAGACGAAGACATCAGTGCCGAGACGGTGTTGCGGTTTCCGTTCATTTACCGAAGCAACCAACTGGACAAGGAGCTCAACATTGAAAAAATGAGGCTCTGGGTCGGCAATGCTCTGTTGCATTCGTTCCTCGTGTTTATCCTGTCCACGTTCTTGATGTACGTGACTGACTGGCCGTGCACTTCGCCCGTGATCTATGAAGCTTGAACTATATTATGATATATATTGAATCAACTATGCAAATACATATTTTGAATCACGGATCGTCTGTAGCTACAAATTGGACACGTACTCGATCCCCAACGCGAGCTTGTTTGTATATGGCACGGCCGTGTATGGCATCTTGGTTGTCACGGTGTGCGTGAAAGCGGCCATGATCATGCAGCACATGCACCGGTGGACGAGGTGGCACTACTTGTCGATTGTGTCTGGGCCAGTGCTGTATGCGATCTTTGTCGCGTCGTATTCCGAGGTAAGAACCTATCCTCGTTGCTATGGTATATATATATATATTTCTGCTGTAGGCGTATGACGTCCTACACATGGGCGCCTTCAGCGACTTTTTCGGGCTCGGAGGGGTCTTGTTCAGCTCGATTACGTTTTGGCTGGGGGTGGTCGTCGTCTCGTTCTCGTCGCTTCTGCTCGATTTTATCGTCATGTACCTGTATCGCATGTACCTCCCCACGAATCAAGTGATCATCGAGGAAATTGATTGCCGCCTCGAGCGCCGCCCGAGCATGAGTGTAAGTACAGTGTCAATGCGATATGCTGCATCACAACGATGTGCATTAGACGCGACTGCGCAACGGCGCGTCGTCCGCAGCGTCCTTTCTCTTCCTTGGCGATTGGCACAAGCAGCTGCACAAGAGCACACATTTCACCGAGCACGAGGAGTTGTGCTGGCAACTTGCCAAGTTTGAGCGCGAGATCTCGAGGGAGACCAACGAGATGCAGCAGCAGCAGTCCGACGACAAGGAGATGGGGTTTATCATCACGTCGATGCCCCCCATCCACCCTATCACGATGGAGTTCATGGGCGAAGACTTTGAACCGCTTGAAGCCGAGTACAACCGCAGCTTTGCCGAGCGGCAGGTGCTTCGCGTGCGCGTGCTGGTGATCATCCTGCTGGTGTTCATTCCGCCGTACGCTGTCGCAGAATACGTGTTTGAGCAGGACACGGACATGTACCCGTCGCGGATCCTCATGTTTTGCTGTGTGTTGGGGTACTTGCTGTACGTCCGGACGGAGCGGTTCTTGACCACGTACCACAGCTCGGTGAGGGACATTCCAAATGTGTGGAATTGATGGAATGCGTGATTGAATCGGTTTTCGCAGGTGGCGATCCCGCTGGCGTTGGCCGGCCTCGTGTTGACGCAATCCATCAAATACACTGGCAAGTTCAGTGTCACGATGTTTTCAATCGTCGCATTCAGCGTCGTGCGCGTCAAGTTCGTGTACGCGCTGTGGCTAGTGCTGTTCAACTTTGCCTACTTCATGCTGTCCAGCGAGATGGGGCTCACCAGCGTCGAGCCCTCGAGCGACTCGACCGTGGACGAGCGCGTTGTATTTACGATCTTCATGGTGAGTACAAACGAAAAAGGCAAACTGCCGCTGGAATGTACTTACACAAATGATCAATTTCGAGATATAGATCTCCATATTCAATGTATAAATCGGTATGATCATGTGTCGTATATAGGCGTACTTGGCCGTGTTTGCCGCGTACGACAACTACCAGTTGCAAATCACAATGAAACTCGAGTTTGTGCAACTTCGCATTTTGAAATACGAAGAGCACCGCAGCCGCGACATGCTCAAGAACATGCTGCCAAGTCATATTGTCAAGCGGCTCGAGAATGGCGCGACGCTCGTGTCGGACGAGGAGAAGGACGTGGCGCTGCTGTTTTGCGACGTTGGCGACTCGGCGTCCTTGACCAAGCGCTACAATCCCCGCGAGGTGCCGTCTAGACGATACATGCAGCTGCTGGTGCTGTCGTGCATGACAATGGACTTGTCTAGATGGTCGTGCTTCTCGATCGCATATATTCGCTGTTTGACAAGCTATGCGCAAAGCACGGTGTCCGCAAGATGGAAACCGTGGGGAAGATCTACTTGGCGTGTGCTGGCTTGCGCGGCAGCGCCAAGGGCAAAGAGGCGGTTCTGCGGGTAGCCGCCACGGCGCGTGACATGGCTGTACGTTCGTCCCCAACGAGGAAGGGTGTGGTGACGGGTGTGTGTAGGCGGTGATGGGCAAGTGCCGGACGCGCAACGGCCACACGATCAATCTCCGCATAGGCATCCATTGTGGGCGCGTGATCAGTGGGCTCGTGGGCATGAAGAAGCAGCAGTTTTCGCTCTTTGGGGATACTGTTAACACTGCGTCAAGGATGCAGAGCACGGGGTTGCCAGGGCGGATTCAAATTTCGCAGGTTGGAGACATGATCAAGGCAGCGGTGGAAAATGTCATATCTGTACATATGCGGTTAGGAGGCGTACGAGCTGCTGGAACACGATTTTGAGTTTGAGCATCGCACGGTGGAAGCCAAAGGCAAGGGAACGCTGGCGACGCATTTAATGGGGAAGCCTATGACGGCGCTGGCGCAGCGGGCATGTCGCGGCCGGTTGGGCACCAAGTCGGCAAAGAAAACCAACGACAGCCGCCGCCTCAGTCTCACGCAGGAGCTGCAGAAAAGCTTGTACTGTGGAAACATCCCTTTCGCGACTCACGATATACGGGTGGTAGAGCGGAGACGTGGGGGAGTTTCGCAGTGAGCAAGTGGACCTGGCAGTCGTGGCCGTGCTTTCGATCCGTCAAGGTAAACGTCAAGCCCATCTCGTCGCTCCAGTCTGTGCAAGAAGAATACGTGGCGGCGCAGATCAACTCGAACGTGTTGGCGTTCAACGACTTTATCACCGAGGCGTCGTACCTCCGGGCCAAGTGGTCCGAGCGGCACGAAGGGTACTTTCAAGTTTGTGTTGGTTATCGGGAATAGAATGACCTTACAATAATCTGACTAGAGCAAGGCGCACCATGCTCGCAATTGCCGTGTACATGATCTTCGCCACTGTCCGTGACAACGTCCGACAGGGCCAAGCGACCGATGGCCAGTCCTCCAGCCACGTGCACGTCAAGTACGTCCGCCGACTGGCAACTAGTGCGAGTTAACACGACACAGGATTGCGTTTGGCGTGGCTCGCGCGCTGTTTATCGGGTGTGTGGTGTGGTGGAAGGTCCTCCGACATCGGAGATGGAAAACGAAGGTCATGTCGTCGCCTCGAAAGACGCACGCCAGTCTCAGCGCGCCTAACTTTACGTTGTACGTGGTCGTGTACTTCGTCGCGACGGTGCTCCTGGTCGTGCCCAACATCGTTCGGTACATCAAGCAACCCACCCTTCCATGATGGAGTTCGTAGGACAATCTCAATCTTATGGTAATGGATGTCAGGTGGATCGACAACCAACAGAGCAACACGTACTCGCACATTGGGCTGGACGTTGTGTTCGTTGTGTTCTTGGCCTCCACGGGCGGATCCATCATGCACAGGCACACTGTGCTTGTCAATGTCGTGTTCCTTGTCAGTGCTACGATCCTCTTTGCGGTACTACACCGATATATATATATACATTTGGTCTAAACCAATGCAATATCTATCCCCGTGACATGATGTTTATGAACCGTAACTCCAACTATGGTGTTTTCAGGTTCTCGTGGGGGTGTATCAACATCCTACCAATGCCGAAGGGGAAAAGCTGCGCATCTACCCGTTGATGTTGTCGTACTGCGTGGGCGTGTCCAACGTCATGTCAAGACGAGACGTCGAGTACTACTGCCGCCGGCGGTACTTGCTCTACACGCGAACGGGCAAGGAGGCAAAGAAGGCGGATCGGTTGCTGTACAAGATGTTGCCTAGTTCTGTGGTCGCGCAATTGAAAAACGGCGACACTGTGTGCGACCAATTCCAAGAAGTACCGTATCTCGACGAAATTGAATATTTATATATATATAATTTTAGGTGGGCATCTTGTTTTCCGACATCAAAGGGTTCACGTCCATTGCCGCCAAAGCTGAAACCGACCAAGTGGTCCAAATCTTGGCGTCGTTGTTCATTGCGTTCGACAAACTCACCACCCAACATGGTCTACACATCCTCATGTTCTTTTAACGAGTCCGATTTTCACCATTAATGCTCATAGGCGTGTTCAAAATGCAAACCATCGGCGATGCATACGTGATCGTGTCTGGCTTGCCCTACAACGACGTGCCGCTGCCGGATGAGATCCCCACTGAAATCGCGGGCGACTGCTGCTTCAACGGCCGGATGAGGGCCTTTCAGTCCGGGGACACCCAGCGCTCCCAGCGGTCGACCGTTGAGAAAACCACGGGCAGCCGCTTAGCCAACTCCCGCATCCCCAAGGACCCGTTGGTGACGCGAGAGCACATCCAACGACTGATCCATATGGCCCACGACATGCACCGAGAAGTGGCCAAGATCAAAGACCCCATCAGCGGTGACCCCCTCTTGATGCGCATCGGTATCCACGTCGGGACGATCATCGCGGGTGTGATCGGCACGTCCACACTGCGCTACGACATGTGGGGGCCTGATGTATTCACTGCAAATGAAATTGAATCGCACGGAGTACCCGGCAAGATTTTAGTGTCGAGCGATGTCATGCAAGTGGTAGGTTTACATAAGTATCATGATTTTGAAAACGAACGTTTCGGATTCTAGGCAAGGAAATGCCAGAACATTCAATTGACGTATCACTCGACTATCAACTTGACTGGCATCAACGACCTTGACACTTATCTCGCCGAGTACTCGGAATTGCCCTTCCCATCGGGCGAAAAGGACATGGACCACTCCACCAAGGCCAAGCGCGACACCAGTTTTATTGCGGCATAAGTGTCCCCAAAACTATTTATTGAAAAAGAGGCCTTGGCATTCAGCTGTGCAGTGGTTGCGCGTACTGCGACCACGAGGTATCAGTGGCACAGATCCGTCGTCGGCCGTCATGGAGGGATCATAGGGGTCCTACTTTCCCTCATGCCGGTATGGGTTAGGGCCGAAAAAAACAATTTCCCCCTTATGGAGGGTTGCATGAAAACACAGCCGAGACAGTTGATTGGCTAATATCGACTTGGCCATTTAAAGAAAAGTATTTTTTAACCAATCGGAAATAAGATTTTTCAGATTGACCAATGGGGGGCGTTGAGGATTCCTACCTATGGCGAAATATTACACCTTTAAGGCCCTGGAAAGGGAAATATTTCGCAACCTCGCCGCCACTTTCCCTACTATGCTACCGATCTCTGATTCAGTAGGCGATGTGGTTGCAAGCATTTCTCGATCTCACTCCTTCCAAGGCGACTCGACCGTTACAATTCAGCAACCTCGAGCAAATCCGACGCATTCTATCCATCACGCAAGAAGACATCCCGCACCTGTACTACAGCTCTGTGAAAATGGCCACCATGTCAAAGGCCATGTATATCTGACCTGCCACGAAAAAACCTTGCAAACTTCCCAAACTTCGCAAAATCCTTCCGTTAGGCGTGTAAGGGTTAGTCTGGTAATATTTCAAAAGTATTATGTCATTTTCTGGTAAAATGGGATAACCAAAACTACCATTTTCAAAATGCAGGTAAGAGCACCATTTTGTAATATGGCGTTTTGGGCCTCCTCTAGTACAGTATATCGTACTTGGAATTATCGGATTTGGGTTAGGGCCACACTGGCAACCTGAAATATTAGGGTACGTCCAGTAACATTTCAAAAATAATATTCCAATTTTTTTATATTTTTCTCGCAAAATGGGATTAGCCAAAATGCCATTTTCTATATGGATGTAAAAGGTCCATTTTGTAATACGGCGTTTTGGACCTCCTCAAGGAGTAAATCCGACATAGAATTATTGGACTTGGGTTAATTTCTTCAAGCAAGACATTTTTCAATTTTTATCAGATTTGTTGAATTCGGTCCCAAAATAGTGTTTTGGGCATTTTTGTAATATTTCAGGTTGCCAGACGGGCCCTTACAATATTCAGACCCAAAACGTCATTTTGAGGCCGAATTCAACAAATCTGATCAATATTGAAACATGCCTTGCTGGAAGAGATTTAACCCAAATCCAACAATTCGGACTGATTTACTCGTTAAAGAGATCCTAAACGTATTAAGCGCGTTTGGTAACAGTTGGAGGGTAAAATGGAATTTTGTGAAGTGGTGAATATCTCGATCAGTAATTATTGAATAACGACAAAATTACAAAATGGACATTTAACCTCTATTTTGAAAATGGCATTAAATAGCATTTTGGTTAATCCCATTTTTCGCAGAAAGTGGTATATTATTTTAGAAAAGTTACCCGATGCACCCTTAAAAAACACTTTCACAGTCAAGCAAGACATGTTTCAATATTCATCAGATTTAACCCCAAAATGTCATTTTGGGTCAGAATATTGTATTTTCTAATAATAGTATTTCATAGAACAGAAACGCGCCTAAGGTAATGCATCAATTATTGAAACTGTTTTTGGTCAAGTTTTGGCCATGACTTCAAATCCCAGTAGCTCGAGAACGATTATTTTAATGCTGATAGCACCACAAGAGAATATAAAACGCCACCATTATTTTTACGTATCATTGAGCATGATTGGCCTACATTTCAGAGTTGTATCGAAATTAAATGTTTTGAGCTTTATGGTCACTCCTTCTAAAAACCTTGATATTTGTATTCGTTTAAATTAATATTCAAAATAATTTGATCAAAAATATAATTGCATGCATATCGCAATACGTAATAAAAAATTACATGAATTTAATTAGTCAGCGTAAAAAGATGCAATCACATTTTAATTCACTGCTGTGGATCACAACAGCAGCAGCATTGTAGTGGAGACCATCCACTCGTTGCGAGGAGTAATACGCTGCTGCTTCGTTGTCTAATGTAGCGATGGCTCGAAAGTGAGTACTTTCATATATTGTGGTTTCGGTACAAATTTCCCAACCCTGTCGAATCGAATCACGAATCGACGCTATTGGCTAATCCAATTTGAGTGTATTTGATTGGCTCTTACAGAAAGGACAAGTATATTCAACCAATCAGAACTCCAGCATGATTGAATATTGATATCAGACCAACCACGCGAATTTCGGAAGTTTATAGCGAATTCACAATATTGTGCTTTCGAGTGAAATTTCGTGTTGTGGCGTGGTTTCTCGTAGGAATTTCAATCGATTTGATTGGCTACTTCAGAAGAGCTCAAAATTGTTAACCAATCAAAACCTCCTCAATTAAACTTAACCAATCAGATCGATTCTGGATCAGTTTGGTTGGCGCGATTCGATTGCATCCCCTCCCCAAATTTGTATCAAATCGACAATACTAGAATCGTTTCATTAATCGTTGTCCCTGTGAAACATGATACTCAGCGTATGCAGTCGTACACTGATTGGCCAATATGTTTCATTCTCCAATTGGCTATTTTCATCCAATCACCAGTGGATCCTCGTCGCCACCATTCGTTTAGCGTCTGGATAGTTACCGGACCACCGTCACTCGAAATTTCGTCCGTCTTAGAACCAGCGTTTTTTCATCATGGCTGCTGCTCGCCCCGTTGTGTCTGTCCTCTCCGTCGGTGATGACTCCGTCAAGGTTGTGTCCCAAGTCGCCCTCCCCGCTGTCTTGACCGCGCCCATCCGCCCTGATGTCGTCACCTTCGTGCACACCAACATCAACAAGAACAACCGCCAAGCGTACGGTGTGTGGAAGAAGGCCGGCCACGAACACTCTGCCGAATCGTGGGGTACCGGTCGCGCTGTGGCCCGTATCCCCCGTATCTCGGGTGGTGGTACCCAACGCGCCGGCCAAGGTGCGTTCGGTAACATGTGTCGTTCGGGTCGCATGTTCGCCCCTACCCGCATCTGGCGCAAGTGGCACCGCAAGATCAACGTGAACCAACGCCGTTTCGCCGTTGCTTCCGCGTTGGCTGCGTCCGCCGTGCCTTCGTTGGTGTTGGCCCGTGGTCATCGCATCGAAACCGTGCAAGAAATCCCCTTGGTGTTGGACGACTCTGTGGAATCCACCCAAAAGACTTCTGCCGCCGTCAAGATCCTCGCCAAGATCGGTGCCGCCGCCGATGTCGAGAAGGTCAAGGCCTCCAAGAAGTTGCGTACCGGTAAGGGCAAGGGCCGCAACCGTCGCTACACTCTCCGCAAGGGTCCCCTCTTCGTGTACTCGAACGCCAACGGCATCGAGAAGGCCTTCCGCAACATCCCCGGTGTGGAATTGATCAACGTCGAACGCCTCAACTTGTTGACGTTGGCCCCTGGTGGACACGTCGGCCGTTTCATCGTGTGGACCAAGTCCGCCTTCGAAAAGCTCGACTCCATCTACGGCACGTACGCTAAGAAGTCGGCCGAGAAGTCCGACTACTCGCTCCCTCGCCACGTGATCACCAACGCCAACTTGGGCCGCCTGATCAACAGTGACGAAATCCAATCCGTCGTCCGCGCCGGCATCTACAAGGGCCACCGCCGCCACCAGAAGAAGAACCCGCTCAAGAACTTGGGTGCCATGGTCAAGCTCAACCCTTACACGTTGGTCGCTCGCCGCACGGAATTGCGCGCCGAAGCTTTGCGCAAGGAACGCAAGGCCGCCATCGTCGCCGAGAAGCGCAACATCAAGTCCACCAAGAACGACCCCAAGCGCAAGGCCCAATCCAAGGCCTTGTTCGCCAAGAACGCTTCGGACTAAGTTGGAGACCCACCGTCGAAAGCAGCAGCTGGTTGTGTGATAACATAGCTATTTACTCGAATAAATGTGTTGCCACATCTTCCGTGCGTCCCATGTCTCTACCAGTAGTAGCTAGTCCCAAGCCATCCTTTCCATCATGCCAGTTCGCCTCCGCTACACCACCAGACGAGGGGTTGATTCGAATGTTGTTGTCATCGTGGGACAGCAATATCATGGGGCAATGTGCCGTTTCAAGTGGAAATGAAACGCTTGCCGTTTGAAATTTTCGCCACGGGGATATATACTTGAAATTTGTATGTGGTCATCGCAGCCCCAAAGATCACACGACGGCGCCGCCGTTTCCCAGCGCGCGAATGTTTCTATTTTGAATTTTGACCGTAGAACGGTGGTGGAATCGACGACGTGCTGTACCACCGACGACGCATGGATACCCGGCCTCTCGTGAACCGAACGACGTCGGACGTTGAGGACTGGTCCGAGGAGTTTTCCCTGCGGCCGCTGCCGATGTATCCGTCGTTATCCCACCTCGAAGTGGATCTCGCCGTCGTGGATGAAAAGGACGGCGACGACGAGCACGACGATGGCAATGATGAGGAAGAAGACGAAGACTGGGACATGGAGCTCATCGGAACGGCAGCAGACGACGCTCAAAGGGAGGAGAGCAATTCGTTCTTTCGCGCTTTGCTGGCCACAACTGACGGTCCAGACGCGTGTGGTGTCGGCGGAGGCGACACAGGAGCAGGTGTGGGTCGGGCCTATACCTTACCGGATACGTACAAGCTTATCGAGAATGCCAAGCATTGCTTTGAAGCTACGCACCGCCGTCCGAGCAGCGGCGTCGTGTACCCCCCCGCAACGACTCTGCTGACGCTCGAACTAGATGGGTTTCCGCTGTATGCGAACAAACAGCTTGAGGAGTGGCTTCAACACATCGTGAAACCAAAGGAGCAAGCTGCGATGGGTCTTGAGAAGCAGTGGAGCCACGTATGTCCAGACGACGTGCTCCCGGGGCTAGCCCCAGACACGTTGCACCGATTTAGCCAACTGTTGGTCTATTTTGTGCGACGAAATCACGTTCCCGAGGCGAAGGTTCTCCTTCAAGCGTTTGCCAATCAGCTCGATGAACCACGTTGGTACCAACTGCAGGATACAAGTGCTGTTCATGGTAAACCCACAGAAGACGACGAGTGGCACAATCTGTGGGGTGGACGGAGTGTGGAGATCGCGCAGGTGGCGATCGAAATCTGTCATCCTCCGCAGGGCGAGTCGTTGTTTGCAAACGTGGTGTCCAAGTGCCATCAACTGTTTCCAGCGTGGCGGCATGCGATGACCCTTGTCGAGTGCCGCTACGTGAGCCACCATTGGGCGTACTTTCAGTCGCACCAGTATGTGTGGCAGCGTCCCCTCGAAGTTGTTGTGGAGCCAGTGGTGTTTGCCACGCCGTATCCGTCTGGACAAGACTTGCTGCGACGGTACCTCGCGCTGTACACGGCGCTGAACGACGACGACGTCAAGCAGCATGCGGGCAACCTCTCGGGGGCGGACATGGGGCTGCTGAGCACAAGCACCCGGGCGACGTCGGTCCAGGTCCTCGTGTTGTGCGACGTTCAAAACTTGGTCGACCGCCTCAGTCCTATCACAGACGAAAGCATTCCGCCTATATTTCATGACGACCAGATGTCGTCGCGCCACAGTCACGACAGCGAGCCCCAGGATGCACTGGACGAGCTGTTTCATCCGGACAACTGCATGCTTCGAATGGAGAGTCTAGAGGCGAGTTATGTCAAGCTAGCCATGCCCCACGACGTGCTGGTCAAGGCCAAGTGCGCGCACGTGCTCAGTCGCATGATGCTCGGACACACAGAAATGTGGCCGTTGTGCGAGTCGTTGGCCATGGAAGCTTTGCGACTCCTAGACATCGGGTTCCCGCTGTCGTTTCCAAAGGGCGAAAGTCAGCGCCAAGGATTGTTTGGACACGTGGGGCGCCACGTGCTTGAAACCCTGGTAGTACCCTCTTGATGCATGCTCGCCCTATCGATGCTAACAGACTTCGACTTAGGGCGCCGTCCTCGCCCACAACAACAAGTACCGGTTTGCCATTGCCTCGTACGAAGCTGCCCAACAATTGTACAGTTTTCAATACTTGAATCGCCGGGGATACGAAAAGCTCGACCGCGTGTGTTGTGGGCTGTGCCTTCATCAAGGTGATTTGGACCGAGCATTGCAATACCACGACCGAGTCTTGCAGTGGACCAAGGAACACGAAAACTGCAACGAGTTTGTGTACATTACGCAGATGGTGAGGCTATGTACTACTTACTATATACATATTAACGCTCGTTGTGGACACTTCATACTGGAGTAGATCAATTCGATCCTGTTGCAGCAAAGTCAGTTTCGGCTCGCGGCGCATCGATTGCAAGACGCGTTGATGGCGCTGCGAGACCCCCTCGCGGTGCTGCCGCCGGCGTACACCAAGAGCGCTGCGCCTGCCCGCCGGTTGTTCCACTACAAATTTCACGCCAACGGGTACGACGCGTGGTTTCTGCACGACATTCAGCTGCATTTGTGTCTTCGCGATGTGTACAAGGCCAGCGGACGAGGCCAGGAAGCGCTGCATGTGCTGCAGCACGTTCTGTCGTACGAGCCAAAGTTCAAACTGCCTCGGGGCCGGCGCATCCACCTCACGATGCTCGTGGCGGAAGACGCGCTCAAGTTGAGGCAGTTGGAGCTGTGCATTTCCATGCTGCGGACGATCGAGCACGACATTGTACAGTCGTCCACATTTTGTGAGCTTGGTACTGAAGCGCATTATTCAAAAATGAGTTTGTTTAGGCCATGGACAACAACAACACCGCGACGACGACCGTCCTAGAGTCCAAACATGCGTGGGAAGTCATGGCGACGTTCCGATACCTGAAGTGCCGTGCTCGATGCTACTTTTACAAGGGTCAATATCATCGTTGTGCATTGTGGCTCGCCGTGGCCGCGTCAAAAGGACTAAGTGTCCGGCAGCGTGCAGACGTCGATGCGTTAGGCAGCCGGTGCCTGCTGCAGCTGCATCACAAGCAGCTGCAGGATGGGGAGTTCGCCCCTCTGCAGCGGACAATGAGCGGGCGATGGGGGTTCACTGCCCAGGAACCGTCGTTGGGGCTGCTGCTTTCGACCAAGAGCGAGCAAGACTCGTTTCACAGTGCCATGGATGACCACTGGAACATTCGGTCGTACACAGACGCGTGTACGTTGTTGTGCTGGAAAGCGTTCGACTTGTACGGGACGCTGAATGACCCGGTGCGGCAAGCCAAGGTGGTGCTCACCCTTGTCCGATTGGACATGCTCGTACTCGAAAAGCACACGTCCGACGTGTCGAGCTTGCATCAAGCCATGGCGTTGGCAAGACAAGCGCTGGATCTGGCTGCCGAATCGGCCGTGCCTATGAAAATGCTCACTGCACTCGTATACACTGCGCAGCTGCAGTGCTGGTGGGCCAAGTGCAACCCTGACCACGACACGCATGAGCTCGTGGCCACCACCGACGAAGCCTTACGACTGCTGTTCGCGATCTTCTTGCGCCAAGTCCGCGGCTCGCATGATTCCATCCACGTGGTGCCATTGCTGCCGTTTCCCCCAAGTGTGTTAATGCAACTAGAAGCGGTAGTTGGCACTCTGTTGCATGTTGGGGCGACGATCACTCAGTTGGATGGGGTTGACGTCCCTGCTTTGTTCTCGTGGAGAGACTTGGAAAGTGCCTACCATTGTCTGAACCAGTGCACGTATTGGTATTCGGCCCAGCCTGAAACCCCAGCATCGGACGACAGTAATCCCCAGCCAGTTCCTGCACGGCCCGTCCACGTTCGAGTGGGCCGTCAGCCCCAACACCAGAAGCAGTTGTCGTTGTCGTCCATCTCGGACATCGTGTCCTTCTCTTTCTTTCGTCGCCCTGACTCGTTCACGTGCGCCGATCACGGCACGCCGCTGCCTCTGTCCCCGTTTGCATACGTTGGGCCCAACAAGTCAAGGGGGGTCTCGTCTGCTGCGACCGGAGATGCCCGGAGCCGATCTCAATCCGCCCCCGCCACAAACGACGCCGACCCATCCACGGCACCTAATCCTGACGACTGGGACGACGGCGAGCTCGAAGTGGAACCGGACGGCGTCGACTTTTGGCGAGCGTGCAACCAGGAGTACCGCAAGCAGCACATGGTGCAGTGGTCGTCCAACATGTACGCCGCTGACTCGGATGCGCTGTGGGGCATATGGTACTGCCATCGCGTCACGGACCGCAAGTTCAAGAGCGGCCGTGTCACGCCGTCGGCGTTTCGCCTCGCCAGCTTGAAGTTGATATTTGACATTCGTCTCCTGTCGCACTCGACTGCACTGCACCTCCCCACCACCCTCGGCACGACCGACTCGTTTGGCGTGGTCTTGCATGTACGTACTACATGTATCCGTCCGATAGACTAAAAACTAAAGGTCACTCTAGGAGCGCGACTGTATTTCTGTTGTCGCGCACTCCACCACCATAAACACATCAACCCCAGTGGATGTGTTCACGTTTCCAGCATCGAATGCGTTGTCGCTGCATCAAGGCATCGCTGGAGTGCCGTTCCAGAACCAGGCTGTGACTTCGGCCCAAGTCGAGCGCGTGCTGCTATATCTTGGGCCAAAGGTACACACACCTTAGACTCCAACCAGAGTTCGTACATATCATCTCATATAAGTCCTTGTAATATATATGTAGGTGTTGATGAAAGTGCTGTCGTCCATGTTGCTGGAAATCCCGTTGATTGTTGTCCACTCGTCCACGTCTGTCGTCCAAGAAGTGTTGTTTGTGCTCACGCATTTGATGCGTCCGTTTCGATGGCCGTTCCCGATGCTTCCCGCCCTGCCCATGTCGTGCACGTCCATGTTTGCAGACCTTATCCAAGACTACACGAAAGCCAAACAAAAGCATCGCCCGATGGCGCCGTTCGTCGCCGGCATCTCGATGGATATGTGGCGGGAATGCACGTACCGGTTGTCCACCGTCCAGTCGTCGTCCGACTGTGCAACGTGCATCAGTGTCCTGCAAGTAAACCTGTCGAGTAAATGCAAATTTCAGCTGGCTTCGAACCGATCCTCGGCAGTGTACATGCAGCCACGGCTGCGGCGATATGTTGTCGATGCCGTGACTACTACAAGTGGCGGACCTGCGTCGGCGGCGCTCGAGGTGGCATTGCAAGAAGTGTATCGAGTGATTTTGCAGTCGTTTCAAAAAGCGCCAAGCTTCAAGCAATGGTTCCGTCTCGAAAGCCAGGAATTCACCAAGTTATTCCAAGCCACGGCGACTTGCCAAGCGTACTTGAATGGGGGCGACGGACGTCTCAGCAGCACCGTCGTGTAGTTGTTTTATATGTAAAGTTATTTAGCAAGCCAAAATTGGAACCATCGAAACCAAGTGTCCCAACCAAAACATCGTTTTTTCTATTGACTATTAAACCTCAACCCCATTTACATGGTCAATTCCATGATGGCGTTCACGACGTCGTTCTCGTTGTTCTTCAACGCAGCGACCGCCTTGGCGCGGGACACGTTGGATTGCGTCATCACCAATTGGACGTCCTTGGGGTCCACGCCGGATTCATCCACTTCGGCATCGTCATCGTCCGCGGCGTCAGCGACCGCCTTGGTTTCGGCGGCAGGGGCATCGTCTTCTTGCTCGAATTGAGGCACTTGGGGTTGCGAGTTGGCGTCTTCGATCTTGGCTTCGCCGAAGATGACGTAGGTTTCGCTGGCCGAGCTCTTGAACACATCGGGCTTGCTGATCACGAACAACACGCCTTGGTTCTTCTTGATCGTGGCACGGATGATGCCAGGGATCTGCTTCAAGCCCAACTTTTGCATGGCCTTGCGGGCCTTGGATTCGGCGCGGTTCAACACGACCTTGTCTTCGTGGTGGTCATGCTCATGGTTATGCTCGTGGCTGTGGTCATGGTCATGGTCGTGGCTGTGGTTGTGCACGGGTTCGACGGTTTGCTGGTGGCTCATGGTGATGCTGGACGAGGGATTCACTGAATGCTGGCACACCACCGACCAGCTCACCCACCATTTCAAGGACCAATCAAATCGATACTTGGAGGTTAAGCCAATCAAAATGAAGCTGTCCAGGCCCTCCGGATAACGTTTTGACGGGCTTCGGACTGTCGGTGATTGGCTCGTTTTCAGCCAATCCAACAGCGGCAGTTCGTAGGTTCGATAAAGTGCGGGTTTTGATTGCAAGGAACTCTGAGGAATTCAACTTGGCACATGCGACCCCAGTTCATGCAACGAACCTTGCGCAACATGACGACGATCAGTGAGCCCTTGCTGAATATCCATCTGAGCATGGAAAAAACCGCAGCGCGAGAAGGAAGCGGCTTCCATGTGGAGCTGCACCCGCCTGAGAATGTCCGAGTTGCGCGCGAGAACGTGCGTGGCGCATCATTCACAAAGGCCGTCACGACACCGCTTCCACAGCCGAAACTCGTCGTCACATCTCCCACAGCGTTGCGATTGATTCAAGATCCTGCCCCCAATGACAATGCGACGTTGTCTGACGACGCGAAGAAGGCGTTGACGAACTTAATCGCTGGAACGGGGCCGATCGAAGGGTTGGCGCACTGTTACGCTGGGCACCAGTTTGGCCATTTCTCTGGACAACTCGGAGATGGCGCGGCCATCTTGTTGGGTGGCACGGGCAAGTGGGAGGCGCAATTAAAAGGCGCGGGTCTCACCGCGTTCTCCCGCACCGCCGATGGACGCAAAGTACGAGTCATCTCCCTCACGACGAAACGACCTATCATGATATGTAGGTGCTCCGCTCGACGCTTCGGGAATTCCTCGCCAGTGAACACATGCATGCATTGAGCATCCCAACCACACGCGCGGGCGGTAGTACCTAATTGCATACGCCATGCAAACGATGTATGTTTCCATGTTGTAGGGGTTGCCGTGTCATCCACCGAAACCGTCTTGCGCGACGTGTTTTACGACGGAAATGCCCAGCATGGTACCTAATATGTACCATATCGCTATATTGTCGATTTGATAGTACAAATTTGGGTGCAATCGAATCGCGCCGACCAAACCGATCCACAATCGATCTGATTGGTTGTTGAATTTCATTGAGAAGGTTTTGATTGGCTAATAATTTTGAGCTCATCTGAAGTAGCCAATCAAATCGATTTAAATTACCACGCCACAACACGAAATTTCACTCGAAAGCACAATAGCTTACAGCCGATATGTTTTCGTATAGAACCCTGTGCGACGGTGCTTCGAATTGCCCAGACATTTGTGCGATTTGGGTCGTTTGAACTGTTTAAACCCATCGACGCCACCACTGGCCGCGCAGGTCCAAGTGCGACCTTGCCGTTGGTACGTACCTAATATATCATTGAGTACCAAGTAGTACTCCATACCGAATGATGACTCTACAGGACGTCCAACGGTCCACACTTCGAGCCATGCTGACGTTTGTCCAACGGGAATACTACGACATCCACGGCCAAGACGATGACTTGGAAGGGTCGACCCATCGATTCCTGCACGCTCTCACGCAGCGCACGGCCGCCCTAGTGGCCAAGTACTTCAGCATGCATGACCAATCCTGTGAGATCTATCACTCTTTCCAGGTGGCAATCAGTCGGCTTTTGCCATGGCGTGCTTAACACTGACAACATGAGCATCGTGGGCGACACACTGGACTATGGACCGTTTGGGTTCATGGAGTACTTCGACGCAGGTCATATTTGCAACACGTCTGACAATTCCGGTCGATACGCCTACGACAACCAGCCCGAGGTGTGATGACTTGTCACTTGGTGGTTGCTTGGGATGACGCTCTTGACCATGTGTTGGGTAGATTTGCAAGTGGAACTGCCACATGCTTGTGAACCAATGGACGTTGCTGTTTAACGACACCGTTCTCGCCGACTTGCACGCGCTGGTGGATGCCACGTTTGACGCGACATACCAATCGGAATTCACCACCCTCGTGGAACGAAAGCTGGGGCTGCCACGTCACGACCCTGACACCAACGCGGCCCTCGTTGCGTCGTTTTGGGCCACGTTGACCGACACCCACGCCGACTTTACCTGTGTGTTTCGAGCTTTGTCTGGTGTGTCCGCGGTGGACGGCGCGTCCACCGACGGGGTGCTGCAGACCCTGGTGGAGGTATCGCATTCGCTAGCCCAAGCGCAAGAGGCTGCGCAGCCACCCGTGTCGCCCGCGCAGTTGGCGCACCTGAAGGACCTTCTCGCAACGCAGCCCCATGTCGCCCGACGATACGGCTTCAACCAAGAGGTAAATGCATGCATATACGATGCATATTTTCGCTGGGATGGGACTCTATAAACGACTCGTTCGTGCTAGACCTTGGACACGTTGACCAAACAAGTGGCCGACTACGAGGCGTTCGTTGCGTCCGACTTGACACCCCAAGGATTCAAACAGACACAAGAAAACCGATGGCAGTTGTGGCTCGACCAGTACCAAAAGCATCTGGCCAAGTATGGCACGGACGCCGACGCTGACGTGGCGCGCCGACAGGCCATGAATGCGACCAACCCCAAGTTCATTTTGCGCAATCATGTGGCCCAGAAAGCCATCGACGCAGCGTCTGCCGGGGACTTGGCTACCGTGACCCACATCCTCCACCTCCTCACACACCCTTTCGACGGCGCAAATGAGTGCGACGCCGCCATCTACAGCCAGCCTTCGGACCCCAACGCCCCGCCATTGCTCGTGTCGTGCTCGTCGTAACAGCACAGACATACTCGATAAGTACAGTTGTGTAGTCGTCGTGGTCCACATTGTAATATCTACTTTGGACGAATATTATTATATCGAGTGCAGTCTAGCTTATACAAAGTATACTAGTACGCTCGAGGACGACGAGATGGTAGTACACTGGCCTTAGGCACATCTTTTAAATGGTTGTGCTACTCGTCAGTTTGTATGGCGTCGCTCGAGGTACACGATGTTTTCCACGTGAGGCGTGTGCGGCAGCATATCCACGGGCTGCGACCCCACGACAGCGTACGTCGCGAGCATGAGCTGGAGGTCCCGCGCTTGAGTCGAGGGGTTGCACGACACGTACACGATGGCGCCAGGCTGGACGACGTCGCAGAGGTACGCGATCAGCGGCTTGGAGAGGCCGGGGCGCGGCGGGTCCACGACGACAATGTCCGGATGAGGCAGCGCCGTCAGTACCGCCTCGTTCTCGGCTTTGAGTACGTCGGCACATACAAAGGTCGTTTTGTGCGTTACGCCATTGTCGGCGGCGTTCTGGGCGGCGTCGACGACCGCGTCCGGAACGATTTCGATGCCCACGACGTGCTTGGCGTGGGGTGCGAGGCAGATGCCGATGGAGCCGACTCCGCAGAACAAGTCCCACACCACGGGGGGAGAAGTCGGCGAGTAGGACGCTACAAATGCCACCAAGTGGGCGTACAAGACGGACGCCATGGCCGTATTGGGCTGGAAAAACGAGTGCAACGACAGGCGAAAGGTCGAGTCTAGGATCGTGTCGTGGATGTACGAGTGGCCATGCAGCACCCGCAGCGACTCGTGGTGCCGATGATGATGTCGGCGTTGCATTTCGGGATCGACAAACTGCACAATGGACGCGATCGATGCGGCGTCCGCGGGCGGCAACGCAGCGAGCAGCGCGGACGCCAGCTGGGGCCCGACGTCGGACGAGAGGGTGGCAGTGCTGAGGCCTACCATGACCTGCTTGGAGCTGTCTTTTAACGTGCCGACCCGCACCACAACGTTGCGAAGGTCCCCCGTGTGTCCAAGAAAGTCGTATGCGACGACGTCCAAGCGCTCTGCGACGGCGAGCAAGCTCTGCAGAATGCGATTGGCCACGTCGTGTTGGAGGACGCAAGCGTTGATGGCCACGACGCGGCCATCCCATTTCCGAGAGCTGCCAGAGGACTTTGGAAAGAACCCGATCGTGAACGGGTGGCTGTGGTTCGAGTCTGGGGCATCGTGCTGGGTCAGCCATCGACCCGCGCTCACAGTAAACTCCGTTTTGTTGCGGTAATGAAACGTGTGTGTGGCATGATCGGCAGAAGCCGACTCGATGGGATGGAGCAGCCGTTGCACTGACGCGTACTTGGCGGCGACTTGATCGGCGTACGGAACATGCTGCGTCTTGCACCCCCCACAGTCTTTAAAGTAAGGGCACAATGGCTCCACGTATCGATCGCTTTGTGTCAACAGCTCCATGCCAACAACACGAGCAGGTGTGCACCTAACAGGTCACGGAAGTTAAGGAAATGCGGAATCCGAGGGAGGTACTGAACTGCATACCGGTCATTGACCACTCGTCCTTTCCATCTTTGGCCTGGAATAGCGCCAACGACAGTACACAGTGCATTGGACGTGATGTCCCGCCCGACGCCGTTTCCGTGGTCGTCCAAACTGTCGACGTGCTACATCATCAAGTTGACATGACGTGATCGTGACGAGGTGTTGACGCCATACCACGTCCACGAGACTTCGCCGCTTGAGCTTCGTGGTCGCTAGACTATCTGCGGATTGAGAAAATGCCCGAGAGGACGACGACAGCCGTTGGCTTTGGCGGGCGAAGCTGCCGCCGCCGCGCCAGAGTGGTGCTGCTTGCATTATTGAATATGAGGCCCAATCAACCAATAAACACGGCCGATTCTAATGGCCAATCAAAACCCGAGTTTACTTGAAGCGTTTCAAAATCGCAACCTTTCGAGGTGACAGCACCGATGCACAAGCGGGTCAAGGTGTGCATCCGCGTGCGGTCAGCCTCGAAAGATCATGCAGGCATCCAAGTCAACGAACAAGAAAAGGTACGTGTACTTGCATGCTCCATGATGGTCATATCAATGGCGCCTGGATAGACAATTAGTGTGTTAAACCAACTGAATGGCAACGGCACGTGCTTTCACTTTGACGATGTCCTCGGCAGCCAAGTGACCCAAGAGCAAGTGTATCAGCGCGTGGCGGCGGAAGCGTCCGAGAGTGTCCTCCACGGGTACAACGGAACAGTCATGGCATACGGGCAAACCGGCGCTGGGAAGACCTTTACCATGTCTGGCGGCAAGACCAGCTTCTCGGACCGTGGCATCTGCGCGCGCTCCATCGCAAGTGTATTTCAAGCAATCCAAAACGACAGCGAGCACACGTATAGCGTCCGCGTGTCGTACGTTGAGATCTACAACGAGCAACTGTACGACTTGTTGGACTTTTCCGAGCACGATACCAACCACAAGGACCTCGTCGTGCAAGACAATGACAAAGGTGGGGCCGTGTTCTCGTCGCCTCACGGTCCACTCACAACAGGGGTTAGGTCAAACGTTCGTCAAGGGACTGGCAAAACCCATCGTGGACAACGAAGGGGCAGCCCTGGACTTTCTCTTCCAAGGCGACACCAACCGCACCATCGCAGAACATTGCCTTAACAGTGCATCCACTCGGTATACAGCCCCTCAAACACGACGAAGCTACAATACTATATCGTTCATCTGCTGAGGATGTGCTTAGGTCGCACTGTATTTTCAGTGTGCACATTGAAAAACGGAGTTGCCACGACACCACGAGTCCCGTCGTCGAGAGCAAACTCAACTTGGTCGACTTGGCTGTAGGTCCCTTGATATTTGATTCTTGCCTTTGTTTTGTGTCAATGTGAAGACTGGAGGATTGTACGTAGGGCTCGGAGCGCATGAAGAAGACGCTGGTGACAGGGACCATGCTCAAAGAAACGATGCACATCAACAAATCGCTGACCTTTCTCGAGCAAGTCGTGATTGCCCTCGGCGACCACAAGCGCGAGCACATTCCGTACCGCCAAACCACGCTGACAAACATCTTGTCCGTATTTCTGCTGGTTGTCGAATCGTGACTCCATTCTTTAAGCTCCACTACATCATGATAGGAAGGATTCGCTGGGCGGAAACTGCCGTACGCTTCTGATTGCATGTGTGTGGCCGGACGAGTCGCAGAATGACCAAACCCTTGCGACCCTCAAATTTGCCACGCGCATGATGCGAGTCAAGACGTCCGCGGTCGTGAACGTGAGCCAAGAGCAGCACATCCAGGCCAAAAAGCTCACGGACGAAATCAAACGCCTCAAGGGGGAGCTGGCCCTCCACGACACTCTCGCCGGACGGAGCCGTGTCGTGTACGATGCCATGTCCCCAGAGCAGATGGCGGAAATGAAAGCGGCGATCGAGCGCTTTGTGGCTGGCGACGGCAGTCAAGGTCTTCTTCCCGTGGTGAATGTCGTGCAAGTCCAGACGCTGTTTCAGCTGTTTCGCCAAGTGGCTCTGGAGCACAAAGCGGCGGCGGGGCCAGAGGTCGACGGGATGCCTCCAGCACAACCAACGATCGTCGAGTCCCCAGTAACATCCCTCGACCACAAGGAAGACGACTCCAATGACAACGCACTGCTACACCAACAACCTTCCGACATTCAACCATCGACGCGAACAGACGACGAGCCAGAACGAACCAACGACGACGCCGCGTTGTTGGACGAGTTCAAACAGCATTTGGCGGCGCAATTGGAACAAGCCAAACAGAACTTTCGAAAGGCCAAGAAACAGGCCGTGCAATGCGCCACCGACGTGAACTTGGCCAAAAGGTACCCCAACCTTCGTGATGATCACCTGTAGTGTGTGGTCACTAATGTCATGCCGTAGTGACATTGACGCGTTGTCCAAAGCACTAAGCACGTCCAGTGACGACGACCAGCGGGAGCTACTGGGGCAACTCAAGGATGCCAAGAAGGTACTAGAACTACTAATCGGCCGTGGCTAAGTTGGAGTGCTAGACGTACCGGACAGCGTTCGACCGGCTCACGGATGCCCAAGCAGAACTGACTTATTTAAAAAAGACCAAAGACCAACTGGTTGCAAGCGCCGCGACGGATTTCGACACATGGTACAGTACTGTATTCAACGAATATCAAAACACAAGTCCTACCAACCATCCATTCTTCACGTGCGTAGGAAACGCGCACGAACAGCCGGCCATCATGCGCAAAGGGCAACCTCAATGTGACCCCACAGTTGTGCTTTGTGAATCATGATTGCGAAGGAATTAAGTTAAATCGAATGGTTACTGTTGTTGTTGTTCGGGGACGATCGCAGGATTGGTGGCTTGGACAGGCTACGCAATGCTGCAGTTGGGGGCGCCGACCCGCCCCCGTTGTTGCTGTTGGAGGTCGAACGAGTCCTGTCCTTCTTGGGGGTCGTCGTGGGGGGCAGCCCAACGTACCCAAATCGCTTCATTTCGTGTTTGTCGCTTTTGGAGAGCTTTCGATCTTCGTTTTTGAGAGTGGTCAAGGGGGGTTTGGTAGCAACAATGGACACATGCGGTGGAGCTTTGTCCTTTGCAAAACCTTTCAAGTCAAACGATGGCGCGACGTGATGCCGAATGTCCTGCACCAAGCCCGCCATGGTGCGGAAGGGCGAGTGCGGAATCCGAGACCATTCGTTCGTTCCCAGCCAGTCCAGGACCGCCACCATCATGCCCTTGCCCACGTCTTCCCACGACGCGGTCGTATACTTGGGCACGTACGATTTCCGCGCAACTTCAGGACTCAACGGCGCTAGAAACACACAGATATGTACATGAATATACCCAAGTCCAATAGTCTCAATATATATAATACCAGTAGACATGAGGCCACTTCCACTGTGCGGGATTGAGCACGCTTGACGACCCATGTTGTAGTTGCATTCGAGCGTATAGAAGTACACGGGCGGGCACATGGCCGCCGTTTCTCGGTGAAGCGCCACGCGCGCCGACCCTTCTTTGGACAACCTACGCCGCATTCACAGTCACGTTGGAAAAGAGAAGCTGACGCACCCCGCGTCACGCTTTTCGACCAAGTGCATGTTTAGCTCTGAAAAGTTGCACTGGTCGTACTCAAAGTGCACTGAATTCAGCCCCACGAGCTTGGGGTACACCTGGCTGGCCGCCTGTTCGGGCATCGTGTCGTATCTGTTGCCGTAGATGAAGCAGCCTCGCTTGGCGGCGTGCGCATGCAAGTCGACGTGCAGCGCCAGTTTGCTGTGGGTGTGACACTAGTCCAATTTAAAGATACACTGTTAAGGTGTATCGCTGACAATCGGGGGGGGGGGTTATACCGTGGCCAAGACGGCGGCCTTGGTCGCAAAGATGGTCGGGTGAGCCGCGAGCGTTGGTCGAATATAGTGCCGATTCAAGTTGGCTCCGAGCGAGTCGTGGCGGTAGTGCCCTCGCGCCACCCCTGGCAAGTTGTTTCATGTTGTCGTGATGCTCAAACGCCAGCATATCAACAAGTACCGTCGGGGTTGAGCATGGGGATGATCTTGAACACACATTCTTTGAGCAACTTGTGTGCGCGGGGGTCGTCCTTGAGCAAAAACGATAGCACCCCCTCGAGCACAAAGCTCGCGGGGGTTTCTGCAGGGTGCACGCGCGCGGTCACAAACACCACGCGCTTGTTTTGAAAGTGGCGGGGGCGCGGCATGGCTGGATGGTCTGGGAATAAACCCGGCAGCGCGTCCTCGCGCTCGTCCAAGATGCTACGTACCAACGACACAAGATAGGAACGACGTTGTGGTTTTCTTCTTGGCAGGCTCAATGTAGTAAACGACGATGATCATGATAAATGGGGAAACTGACTTGTCCAATGACGAAATGGTCAGCAGGTCCACCTTGCGACCGTCCAACGAGTGAGCCAACGTTTCTCGGTGGTAGTAAATGGGCTGCGATCGTAACCGACTTCGAACGACTGGCATCGGCTGCTGCTTGCCATCTTGAGGGTCTTGGCTGAACTCGGAATCCAATCGACGAAGCATCCGCTGCAAGTCTGTGTACGAATATGGGTAGCAAAAGGCAAAGAATTGAGTCTCGCCTGCCTTGACCACGGTGTGTGTAAACCTGATGGAGAATTCTCCATCCTTCTGCACTTGGTAGGTGACACCTTGACGCACTACGTCAAAGGGAGGTGCAATGATGATGATATGGAACTGAGGGTAGATAGCTTCTTACGGCGCTCCCACTTCTTTTGTGATGGCAACGACCGCGTCACCGGCCGCATGTCCTGGTCGTACAGCGACGAGTGCTTGATGAGATTGACCACTTGAAGCGATACCACTTGACCTGCGGATGCACCCGCGATAGAAAAGTGGAACCATGACGTGGACGTCAGGGGAGCTTCGGGTTGCGCGTCAGGTTTTGCAGCATCCGGCGCCGCCGTTATGACGTATTCACAGCCACCTCCATCGAGGTCACGTCCACGGTCCACGGACAGCATGTTCCCCGAATCAAATGTGGAGGAGAATGTGAGCCCATCTACCAGCACTTCATTGCGCGCAGGGTGCTGTGCCGCATGTGCGTCCACTGAGTCGGCCATCGGTCACGAGGAATGAAATATCTTGGAGAGGCGCCTCGGTCCTCGATTTTGATTGGTGGAATTTAAATACAGCCAATCAAAACACTCCAATTTCTCGATCACGTTAACTGCAAAAACTGATGTGAGCTCATGGAGTCTACGAAGAGTGTTCGAGGGCACTCAGGAACTCTGGCATTGCGCCGAGCCAAAGGATTCATACGCCGGTGCGAAGAACCTGTTCTTTGTCGGTTAATGGCGTTTGGCTGCTTCCACTCGGGGAAGAACACATATGGTCTCGATACCGACTGTGATATCCCTCGCTGTCGCAGACCATGCCTGCATCCATCATGGGCGAGTGCATGCTCACAAAGACTAGAATATGTGTACAGTATATAAAATCCCAGTCCAAGTGACATGACTTAGACTGCTAGAGGTGGCATCACGCTCTATGCTTCGGTCGCACGGATGAGATCCCCACCGTTGTCGGAAAAATCTATCAAGTGTGGCAGCCGTCATCTATCGCTTACTTGCAGCACCCCCCGCTCGGCTTGGCCGGTGGCGTCGTCTTTTGCTCCAACCGAAGTAGGGGATCGGGGGTTGACACGGGTCGGTTTGCTGACGGCGCGAGGCGTTCACTCTCCAAGTGCTTCTTTAGCAGTGCGCGGGACACCGTCTCGAACATGTCCGTCACCCCTTGGCCACTCCGTGCGCTCGTTCGATGCGCCGTGGCGCCGATTTCTCGAGCAAATGCCTCGGTCAGTCCAAAGTCGAACGACGTGGCCAGGTCGCACTTGTTGCCCACGACTGCCAACACGATATCGTCGTCCACATGCTTTCGCAATTCGTTCAGACACTCCTTCACCTACATGCAACGACCATGAGCACGACGTGGAACGTTGAGGTTGAACATTACCTTTGCAAACGTATCTTCCTTCGTGACATCGAAGACGAGGATGGCAGCTTTAGCGTTCCGGTAGTACATTGGTGCCATCGAGCGGAAGCGCTCTTGGCCCGCCGTGTCCCATATCTGAAGCGTCATCTTGTGCTTGTCGAGCATAATCCGTTTTTGAAGAAAGGACGCGCCGATTGTGGCGGCGGTTGGCGTGTTGAAGTTGTTCTGGCAGTACCGGATTGTTAAAGATGTCTTGCCTGTGTCTGTGCACCCCACGATGACGAGCTTTCGATCAATTCCCACTTCGTCCATGGCCTACGTACGCGGCGGCAGCGGCAATCCTACTTAGACGATGGTGAGGGCAGCCCCTTGAAACAACATTCATTCTCGTGCCCCAACAGCGACGTAGTAAAATATCCATTGCAACAGGTTATCGAATGCTGACATCCTAAATTCAAACAAAGTCAAATGATTTCATATCAATTTACACAGGTAATCACTATATACAAGTTCTATTCGGCCTTTTTTGAAACGAGGGGTGTGCTTATTTTAGATTCGAGCCCAATCGTCTTGGGATTTGTATGCATAGTTTCATGGAGACATAATAATATCGCCATGTTTCTTTCACCCGAGGTTTGAGACATACGTATACCCTGCTAGAGAAGTGGCGGACGGCGGAGCCAGAACAATGTAATGCTCGTCCCTGGTAGTACGGTACCTTCCAGGCGGACATGATGGAAGTACACACCCCGTAGTACCCCAAGCAACCCAACATTACGCCGCCCTCCTCGCAACACTATGACCAAACATCATCGTAATGATTACGACGACTCCGTTAACAACACCGTTCGCCACGGATCTTCCTGCACATCCTCTCCCCATCGATCCAATCGTTCCTTGAACTCTGTGGTAATAGTGCTTGGAAGGGCGAGCTGGATGTTATGTCGTTGCACCCACAGGCACATCCTTCGCATATTCGTCGACGTCGTGTCACCGCCACACGATTCGAGCGCATGTGCAAGCACCTTTGCTGACAATTTCCTGTCGCAAGCTTCCAGGACAACCACAACGTCCGTGCTCGTTTGCAACGCCTTGATCAGACTTGCCATGTTCTCCCCATCACTCGCTGCAGCTTTCGCCAACATGTGCAGCCACGCCTCTCTGTCGACCAGATTCCCGTCGGCGGCTTGGCCACATGCGGCGGCAGCGGCAATGGTTTCTGGTCGATAAAGGATTCCTTCGTCCTTCATGCGTTGGACGAGCTGAAGGACATGCGTCCACACCACGTGGCCTTCCCCTTGGGTCAGTTCCGCCGCCCAGATGCGCAGGCACATCTCGCAATGCTCGACACGAAGGGGCACGTCCCACACAGAGTCCATCGTGTCCAGCACGTCCTTTGCCGTCACGTCAGTGAGAATACGTCGCCGAATGGCCGCCAAAAGCGACGTGATAGTTCGAACATTGGGCTTGACGTCTGCGTTGTCCTGCATGGCGTCCCACCAGTACATGAACCGCACCGGGAACGCCGGCGGCGCGGTCCAGTCGACGAAATGATCCAGTTCGGAAATGGGTGGCTGCGAGTACACGCGCATCATGTGCGTGTACGTGGCAGCCGAGAACGGAATTGACTGGTCCATCGCCCATGTGACAATGTCCTCGGCCATGTCGACCGCCTGGGCCTTGGCAGCCGCGAGGAGCGCCGTGTCCACCACGTACGGATGTGGCCCCTTGTGGTTCGTAAACAGGGTCGGCAAGCGCTCGAGCTTGGGCCACACCTCTTCCAGCAGGCCGAGCGTGGTGGTGGTGCCGCCATCGCCGTCGTCGTTCCGGCCATCGTCGTTGCTACAACACCAAATCTGACGAGCTCGTTCTAGGGACAGCTTCGTAGTACGTACCGCATGCCATATAAAGTGTGGAGCAGATGCACCGCGCCTTCCGCGTTCAACGCGACGCGCCCGTTTTTCTCTTCCGACAAGTCGAGGGACCGAAACAGCGCCATGGCTGCGTTCACGTCGTTGTCGTCGACGCGGAACAAGTAAAAGACGGATGCCAGTACCTATAGCAATGATTCCGTCATCATTATGGTTGTTGTTTCCGTCACCATTGCAGTTGTTTACGTGATCATGGGTTATGGCGTACCGCAGGGTGGTGCATGTACTCGGGGTCGCTGTGTTGAATGTGCTGAAACAGCATGGCGGCGTGCTTGAAATGGCCTAGTTTCGTGTACGCCAAGATCACGCCGCCGTAAACATATCCCGAGCACGGGAACCCATGGGTTTTGATGGATTTGAACGTCTCGACGACGTCATTCCAGTGGCCCAAGCCCACGTGGGCCAGCAACACGGCGCTCATGGTGCGGTGGTTGGTGGCGTCGTCCGCATTCAGGTCACGCGACACCAGCCTCAGCACGTCATTATGCTTGCTCGCCTTGCTCAGTGTGGTGAGGTATCCGTTGAGCACGTCCACACGGGTGTGGTGATGATGCGGGTGATCGTACAATCGTTCGTTGGCCGTGGCGGCTAGGTCGTACAGTTGCGCCGACTCATTCACGTCGTCGTTGCAGGCACAGATGGCGGCATAATAGCTCGTGAAGTCTGCACGGGGGTGTGCGCGGAGGGCGTCCTTGGCCTCGTCGAGGCGCCCGAGACGGCCACAGGTCAGCAAGTACGCGTTCTTAAACTGCGCCGACGGAGCCTCGATGCTTTGGTAAATGTGCTTGGCCAGGGGAAAGTAGTCGCGGTGGCCGTACTGAATTGTGGGGCATTTGTAGTCTGGGTACCCCAGGGATGGCAGCCACTTGTCCATGGCAAGCCACTGCCGATCGGTCGCCAACGAATCGACGATCGCGTGCAGGTCATTGGTGGACAGCGTTTCGACGACCAGCGGGTCTTGGTGCAACTGTTTCAGGCCAAACCACGACGACAAGTTGCCGCCCAAGCGGTTGTTCCGAGCTCGTTGATGGCTATACAAGTCGTTGAGGACCTTCAGCGTGAATGCGCTGTTGTGGGTTGATACTCCCACCATGAGGATGGCTTCCAGCACGTGGTCCACGTCAAAATCCACGTCCAGCTCCACGTCGCGGAGTTTCTCGACCAACGACAGCGCGGCCTCGGTTTCGCGATGCGTCAAACACACTTTCGCCACCGTGAGCCACGTGTCGGCCGCCGGAGGTCGGTTGTGCCGCAGCATCTCGTCCACTAACCGCAGCGCGACGAGCCACTGATGTGCCTTCGCACATGCCTCGATGGCCTGCTGGTACATCTCCTCCGACACCGGCATGAGGTGCACTGCCTCATGCATTTGCGCCACGACGTCCAAAGCAGTCTCCCACGCATGCACGTCGTCTTCAGGAGAGATCGCAGCGCACGACGTCACTGCGACTTTCAACGTCAACGGCGACGGTTGGATGCGCTTTTCACGCTGGGCGCGGTAGACTTGAAGCACAAGTGCATGATCGCCCAGCTTGTCTGCCACAAGTGACAATGCCGTGGCTTGGATGCCAAGAATCTCTTTGGATAAGGTCATGGCGACCACTTCGTCGAGTCGACACCTCGCTAGCCGCGCCTCGTCGTCCGTCGGAGTTTCCAGGGCCAAGAATTGCCTGAACTCGTTGAAGTAATATTCGTCCTCGGCCACCACCCGTGGACGGACTGTTCGTTCAGTGGATGATGGCTTCTTGTCGCTGCTCCCACATCCAGAGAAAGACCGATGGAGTTGAAGCAATCGCGGCACGCTCGGAAGACGTAAGTTTGTCGTCTGCTGTCGCAATCCAGTGGACAATGACATGCCCTGGATCTGCGTGGTGGCACGGCCAACGCGATGCTTCTGCTGGCTGAGTCGTCGAAGCATCAACTTGTGGTGCATTGGGGGCGCCACTGTACAACGTTGCACGAAGTGGCCGATTGCCAGCGATTACCAATCCGGATGATAGTAAGCAGTTAAGCGGATAATTGAAGTACTACTAATAATACTATTAGTATATTAGTACTACGTACGGTAGTACTATTTTAATAGTACTACAGTATATTAATAATAGTCCTATTCATATTTTAATATGAATAATAGACAGATTTAATACTATTAATATGAATAATAGGACTATTATTAATACAATAGTATCAAAAACTCAACTCACAAACGTGTGTTTCTTCTACACGACAAACCCCTTCTTCTTCATCAACGCGTCGATGGATGGCTCTCGGCCACGGAACGCACGGTACGCTTCCATCTGGTCGCGGGTGTTGCCTGACGAGTAGATGAACTTTTTGGCGCGATCGGCGGTGTCCTTGTCGAAAATGTCACCCGCTTCCACAAACGCCTGGAAAGCGTCGGCGTCCAGGACGGCGGCCCAGAGATACACGTAGTACCCCGCCGCATAAGACGCCCCCCCAAACAAGTGGTTGAAGTGAGGCAACCGGTGGCGCAGCACGATGCCTTCGGGCATGTCCAACTTGGCCAGGATGTCCTTTTCAAACGCCAATAGGTCGAGGCCATCAACAGTGTCGAGCGCATGGAGCGCTTGGTCAACCAGTGTGCATGCCACGTGTTCAACGGTGGCAAAGCCTTGCTGGAATCGCATGGCGGCGGTGACTTTTTCCAGCAGCGCCTCGGGAATCGGTTCGTTGGTGTCGACGTGCCGAGCGTGTTTTGCAAGAACTTGCGGCTGGCTCATCCAGTGCTCCATGAGTTGCGACGGTAGTTCAACGAAGTCCTTGGGCACTTGCGTGCCACCCAGTCGCTTGTACGTTGCGTTCGACAGCATGCCATGGCAGCCATGGCCAAATTCGTGGAACAGCGTCTTGACGTTGATGAACGACAGCAGGGTCGCAGGGTAGCCCTTGGTGAAGTTGTTGTTGTTGATCACGATAGGAATCACGTTCGACCCGTCCGGCGTGTTGCGGTGCTGGCCACGGAACTGACTCATCCATGCACCGCCGCGCTTGAATGGACGCGCAAAGTTGTCGTGGAGGAAGATCGCCACCACCTCGTTTTCAAATCGCACTTCGTACACTTTCACATCGGGATGATACGCGTGGATATCCGGACGATGCACAAACGCCAAGCCATAGAGCTGGTACGCGACGTCCATGACGGCTTCCACCATGCGGTCGAGGCTGAAGTACGGCTTCACGGCGCTGTCGTCGAGGTCGAACGTCGCCGACCGCACCTTCTCGGCGTAATACCGCCAGTCCGACGGGCGGAGCACAGGAGTTGCCTCGCCGATGGATGAGGCAAAGGCTAGCAACGTGTCGCGTTCGCGAAGAGCCGCCTCCTTGGCCGGCACCCAAACGCGTTCCAGTAGGTCCATGACCGCCGCCGGCGTCTTGGCCATCATGTCGCTGGTTTGATACTCGGCGAACGTGTTGAAACCGTGGAGCTTGGCTTGAGCGATGCGAAGTTCCAAAATGCGCACGGCGATCGGGTTGTTGTCCCGGTCAGGTGTCGACTCTCCTCGGAAGTTCCATGCCTGCCACACGCGTTCGCGGGCGTCCGCGTTCGCGCAGAGCGTGAGAAATGGCTCCACCATGGATCGTGCCAGGGTCACCACTGGGGTGCCCGAGTTGCGGTCAACTCCTGCCTGCCGCGCCGACTCAACGATGTAATCGGGGCTTCCCTTGAGTTCGTCTTCCGTGACTGGAACAGTCACTTCGCTCTCGTCGGCGGTGATGTTCTGCCGGAAGATGGTCATGAGCTGCGCCAATTCCTTCACGATTCCATTGTACTTGTCTTGCGTTTCCTTGTCAAAAAGCGCACCAGCGCGGACGAAGTCGACGTAAATGCGCTCAACGAGGCGAAGTTCCTCGCCGGTCAGCTTGGCCGCTTCTTTGTCGCCGTGCACGTGCTTAATGCGTTCGAACAGCCCAGGAAACGAGGTGATGGCCGCATGGTGGTCGGCCATGGGACCCACGAGGTTGCGCTCGACCGATCGAAGCTCAGGCGGGCAGATTGAGCTCGTCAGATTGTGAAACACGCCGAGGATGCGACCATTGAGAGCACCTGCGCAGTCGAGGGCCTTGATCGTGTTGTCAAAGGTCGGAGCGTCAGGGTTCTCCGCGATCTGTTGGAGGTCCGCCAAATGCTCGGCTATGCCGACTTTGATCGCAGGTTCAAAGTGACTGGCGTGAATTTCCTCAAAGGGAGGCAGCGAGAACGGTCGGACAGACCAGTCCGAAAGCAGCGGGTTGTTAGTAGAAGCGGAGGGTGCCATGGCTGCTAGCAACTCAAGTCGTGAAGTGACCCCATCATTTATTCTTTCAGTCGTATATAACCTCAAACTTCGAATCATATTCGATATCTACTTCGGAAAATATATTTGTAATTATACAATAATACTATACTTCGAAGTATATAATTACCAGTCGTACGTTTTATGAGAAACGACCTTCTTTCGATGGACGAGAGAGATATGAGGTTTAGATATATTAAGGATGTACACAACATGAACTCGAGTTGCAGGTGGTCGACGGACCTTGCTGTCGTTGCTTGGAAAGTTGCTGAATGCTGGAAGTTTATGACTTTCTTGATCATGGCAATTTGATACTTGAGGTGTACAATATATAGATTTAGCCCCACACAGACGATGAAGAACTATGCATTAAATAGTATTATGACAAATAACTCTCATGGCGTGGAGCTAGGCGGTTGTCACCCCTTGACTTGGCGTGTCGACGTTGTACGACGTCGCCCAAGTGTAAATCCACTGCATCAGTCCACAGACCGAGCAGAGCATCGTCTTCACAACAGCCAAAGACCGCCTTGGGTACGCACGCAGCCAGGCATTAGCCCAATGCACCTAGTGACCAACACGGGGCCTGCGCTGTATTGCATAACGAGTCTTCGTCAACCACCGACTTGGATGCCAATGCAATGGGGACAACAGGAGCCACTGTAGTCGCCGCAGACGTAGCCTCGTTTCCCTCGCGGCGGGGGTCGGCGCTGAACGCAACTGGCGTCGTAGCGGAAGGCGCTCGTGAGGTCGGCCACAGACGTGGCTGACACTTGTTTCTTCAGAAGCGCCGCCGTGAGCTGAGCCGACGCGTGCTCTGCGATGATCATTGGTCGTTGGGGCAGCGGCGGGATCTCTGCGAGTTGTTCCATGCCCTCGCTCCTGTTCATATTCATTCAGGCAACGACATGGTAGACTCGACCGTACCATGTCTCGGCAAACGCGCACAACGCTTCGCGGGCCGCCGCGCGAACAAAGTCTTTAGGATCTTGAATGGCGCCAGTGAGTAGGAGCAACAGATCGTCGCAGTGCTCGGCCAGTTCTGACTTGGGCCATTCTCTGACGACCGTCATCACCTGCTGCACGATGAGGCATCGAGCCTCACCTACAAACTAGGTGAGCAGTGTACATTTAAATATGAAGTCACTTTCTGGGCCGCGTTAGTACAGCGCTCAACAAAGCCCAAGTGTTTCGTCAAGCTGACAAAGATAAGATGCCTTATCAAGATTACAACCGTGTCGAAATACGATATCAAGATCCTTATATCCCT